ACACCATATGCAAAATGAGACTTTAGTTTCAAATAGTTCTCTACAGTGTGAATGGGATTATTTAGTAAGCTTATATTAATAAACAAAAATAAGTGTACTGCAGAACCATTATTTTAAAAAGTTATTTACATAAGAAACAAAGACGGACCGGAGATAGAGCTCCCATCAGCTGGCACACTCCAAATGCCTCCAGCACCCAGGACCTGCCCCCCAGTTCCCACCTTCAGGAAGCTGCAGTCAGCAGCCGCAGAGGGGAGGTGGGGGGCTCTGATATGGGACTTGGGTTTCTTAACCAGCATCTATGCCACATGCTTGCGTCTACATACCCGCCTTTTAGACTATGTTTCAACCTACACTACGCTACCCTAGCAAGCAAAACATGCAGAAGCAATACAAATGAACTCACTTCTGCTAAACTATCTCAAAAAAATTATGTTTTAGAATCCAATCCACACACGAAGCATTCCAGGGAACGGAGATAGAGTGTGCATATAAATAATTCAGCGTACGTTCTATAAATACTCGCACATGACATCCAGCTTGAAAGGTCTGGAAAACTTAAGGAAATAAAACACCTTAAGAAAAGCCACAGCTTTCCTTTCCCTCCATCAACACAGATGCCTCATTGTTTCCGAAAGTCACTTACATTCCTTAAATAACACGTGTACATGCCACACACTGCAGTCCACGAACAATTCATGGAAGATGCATATTATGAACAAACTATACAAGGATTTCCAAAGTTTTCTGCAGATGGCTGTGTTGTACAGTTGAGTATGCGGTACTAGCTCCAGGTTTCCCTTCCTGCTAACGCAGCCCCTGGCAGACAATGGTGATGCCTCAAGTCATCAGGTTCCTGCCAGCCACACAGGTGACCCGGACAGCCCAGCTCCTGCCTGTGGCCAGGCCTGGTGCTGGCCAGCACAAGCATTTGAGAAGTTAATAGATGGGGGAATCTGTGTGTGTTTAAATCATTGGTTTTTTTTTTTTCTGCCAAAATAAACATTTCTTTTAGTTCCATTTCCCCACAAAGCTTGTGAAGCATTCACATAAGTGACACACAAATATTATTCCTACCACAGCGTAACAGACAGCATATGACAATGCACTATTCAAATACGAGTGCTAATGTGGAGGTTATGGAAATGACCAACTGACCCTGGACACAGCTGGATCCTTCTGTATCAGCAGCGCCGTCCCCCCAACAGAGGAGCACTCGCCATCTGAGTACACCCTGCTTCAGTCCCTGCCATGCTCCCTGCTGTCCCCCAACCGTCACTGCACTGACCACGCTCTGAAACTACCTTGCTCACTTTGGTTTTGGTCTGTCTTCCTCCACCGAAACCTAAGCTGTGTGAAGCACAGTACCTTCTCATTTTTGCACATGGAATCCCCATTACACAGACCAGTGTTGGCATCCAGCGGAAGCTTCAAAGATGGCCCTTCGCCTCGGGGAGCCAGCACCTCTCCACTGTGCTGGAGGCCACACAGAAAGGGGGCAGCCTGCTAAGTGCCTGCTAAGTGCCGGCATTGCATCCCAGACCCCAGTTATCACTGGGAGCCTGCACGACTCGGCCACTGCAACCTCAACGCGACTGCCCCATGCTTCACCATCAGACAGTGCTCATCCATGGCCGTTAATAAAGCCAGCTGCTGCAGGTCCAGGCAGGCCTTGTTGTCTCCATTTACAACATGGCGGATGACTGACCCTTATTTAAATGAGCCTCTGGACAAACCCAATGGATTCAGCACCCTAACTGCTATTCACCAGTGGGAGACCAGAAATGTACCTGAAGACAAGAAGAAACAAAATAACACAGCCAAGATCCTGCCTTGTTGTCCGGACACCAGCTGACTGCTTACCCATTACAACCCCCAAAGGCACAAATGCTTGTGTACTGGCAGTGAGGACCCTTTAGACTTCTTTCCTTCTTTATTCTCTCTCTCTCTCTCTCTCTCTCTCTCTCTCTCTCTCTCTCTCTCTCTTTCTAACCAGGGGGGCTAAAACATAACAAAGGTATAACCCGCTTAACACGGGAGCTACGTGTATACAGTATCCAAGAGACACCTGTCTTCTCGGGCACACTGCCTGGGTGCTCTAGGGCATCCGGCAACTGCCCTGACCCTCAGCTCGGTTTCTGTGTCTGTAAAGTGGGGCTCAATAGGGTAAGAGTCTCAGGAGTATTGGTGAGAATGAGCACACAGAAATCGGCAACACGTTAGCAAGAGGATAACTGTCCTAATGGCTTGTAGCAAGGCTAGCAACTCCTGGGGGAGGGGATGGGAGAGGAAGGAAGGGGAGCCGCAGTGCTGGAGTTCCTGTTAAGAAGCAAATGTGAACTTAAAAACTCAGAAAAGGGGACTACAGCTTCCTGGCTTCCCTCTGTCAACACCCCTTCCCAACCAGAGCAATCACTAGCCCGCTGCCGGCTGCCCTACTAGGGGGTGGAAGACTGGGTTTCACACCGAATCACAAGCAAACGCTGCATTAGCGGCAGGCTAGAGAATTCGCCATGCTTCTAGTGACAGACAGCACTCCCAGGGCGTTCAGAAGCGCACCCCAGGACGCACAGGGAGGAAACGCTCCCGGTCAGCAACAAGGGGCTCCCCGGCTCCATCCTCTGCCCGCGTCCACTCAGCACCTTCCATCCTGCTCCGTCCCCCGAGCCCACTGCGCGGGGCAGCATCCGTGCACCGCATTCCAGCATCCCCTGCATGCCCAGGAAGCTGGCCCGGGCACTCGCCTCCCCACCCACACCCGACAGCTTCGCAGCGGCTGGAGGCCCCAGAGCCCAGCACGCACCCCGTCGTCTCCTCAGCACCTCTGGGCACCAACGTCGCCTCTCCCCGCCGCGACGCGCGGAGGGTCGGCCCCTCCTCATTCACACACCTGACGCCCCTGAGGGCCCGTCAGCTTTTCTCCCTTCGCCACCAGCCTTGCCAGGAATCAAAAGGTTCAACTGGTACTGAGACAGAACAGTCCAGGATGCCGCCGCCGCCTTCTCCTCCCCGCCATATTACGGGTTTCAGAAGCGACAACGCGGGCTCCTGGCAACCGCCGCCGCTGCCGCCACCTAGACTCCACCCCTCAGGGCGGGCACTTCCGGTCACGGCTTCGCGGGCGGTTAGAACGACCGAGCCTGAGAAAACTACAGTCCCCAGGGTGCACTGCGCGGCCATGACCAAGGATGTATGTTTTGCGGTGAGCTGTATGCATCCTGGGAAATATAGTCTTTACTGCTACATCGCGCTTCTAGAATTGTATTTTGCTATAAATAGAATGCTCTTCGAGGTCTATAAGCATGAAGTGTTCCAGAAAGTTGCCTTTTATTTTTGCTTATTTGTATAGATATTACTTCTTTCTGTGTGTTCACTGGAAAACATATCGTTCACCAATTTTTTTAAAATGCACTTATTTTATTTGAAAGGCAGAGATGCACAGAGAGAGGCTGAAAGAGAGAGAGACAGAGCTCAAATGCCCGCAGCACCGAGGCTGGGCCAGGCTGAAGCCAGGTACCCACAGTCAGCCTGTCACGTGCAGGGCAGGGCCAAAATGCTGAGTCGGCCTGTTGCCTCTCTGAGAGCACATTCCTGAACAGGAAGCAGACATGGGACTCCACCCAGGCACCCGTGGTGGGTTGGAGGCATTCCAAGCAAAGTCTTAACTGTTACACCAAATGGCAGCCCCTTGCTCTGTAGGCAACAACAACCAATAAAATGATGAATCCTACATGCTCATTGGAAACCTTAAGATGACCGACATCCTTCTGAATTCCAGTAGCAAGATTTAAACAAGCAAAACAGATGACAAGTTCAAGATGGCAGAATACGGACTGAATCTTTACCCAAAGTGTCTATTGAAGGAATATGACCAGCCTTCCAAAATATAATACAGTGGCCTCTTTCCTTTCCCTGAGGAGCCATCACCTTCTGTCCCTCTTACTGACCCTCCCCCACTACCTATTATCACAGGTGGTTGCGAGGAGGCACAATTAAGATAATGCTTGCAGTGCCTGGTACATTAATCTTCAGTAACAGGAATAATAAGATGAGGAAGAGAGGCAATAGACAGGTCACACACTGCTGGCTGGCTGTCAGTGCTGTCCCCTGCCAGTACCTGCCCAGTTCGCTCCACTTCTCAGTTTCCTCAGCTACCGAAAGAAATCGAGCATAGTGACAAAGTAGGTTAGGCTGCCAACTGCAACCCCAGCAGCCTACAGCAGCATCAGCTCCCATCCCTGCTGCTCCACTTCCTCTCCATCTCCCTGTTAATGCGCCTGGGAAAGCAGCCGCAGAAGGCCCCTGTCATCCAAATGGAAGGCAACGCTCGAACTCCGGGCTGCTGGCTTTAGCCTGGCCCAGTCCTGACTGTTGCAGCCATTTGGGGGAGTAAATTAGCAGACGGGACATCTGTATTTTCCTGTTTTTTTCTGCCTTCCAAATAAATACATGCATATTTTTTTCTTCAAAAAAAGAAAGCAGTGAAATCCCTGACAGGTTGGTAGCTCAACTGTTTCCTTTGTTTTAGTCTTTCATTTCCTCTGAATGGGAAAAAAAAAATGCTTTGAAAACAGAAGGAGAGCCGTCTCCTGAGTTAATACCTGCTGCTGCGGCTGTTGAGAGAAGAAACGAGATGAGCCTGCAGTGTTTGCTGGTACAATGCCCTGGACCTGCTCAACGCTCTGTTCGTGTCACTTGCACCTGTTATATCCCCACACACAATCAGAAAGCCTTCCCTCCACGCCTGAATTGCACCTGTTAACAGCATTATCCCCCACCCCAAAGCCTTCCCTCCACGCCTGAACGCCCAGCTCCATTCAAGGAGCCCAAACCACACATCACACCCAGCCTTCTTGGAACTTGAGCCTGGGGCCAGGGACTGCCCCTGTTGCCACGGCAGCGGTTCCGCCCCCTCGCGCCCGAGATGTCGGGCTCTGATTGGCTGGAAGGTCTGCTCCCTCTCGGGATGTGACCGCCGCCGCCATTGCGCGGCGCTGGTCCCCTCGGAAGGTGCCGGCTAAGGACAGTCCTCCTCCTCCTCTTCCCCGCCATCGCTCTCTTGCTGCTCAGTCCCGGGAGGCCGGCCGGTCCGGAACTCCCGTCCTTGCCGGTGCGGGCGCCGGCATGTGGCTGTGGGAGGACCAGGGGGGCCTCCTGGGCCCCTTCTCGTTCCTGCTGCTGCTACTGCTGCTGCTGACGCGCAGCCCCTTCAATGCCTGCCTCCTCACCGGCAGCCTCTACGTGCTGCTGCGGCTCTTCAGCTTTGAACCGTTGCCCTCCCGCAGGGTCCTGCAGGTGCTCAAGCCCCGAGACCGCGTGTCCGCCATCGCCCACCGGGGCGGCAGCCACGACGCGCCGGAGAACACGTTGGCAGCTATTCGGCAGGTGAGTTTCCCCTACCACCACCATCACACCTCGCGCCCCCTCGGACCTTGCTGGAAGCTCTGCTTGAGTTTGTCCTTCCTAAGTCTCCTGACCTTCTCAGGTAAGCTTCTGTGGCCCTTGATTCCCTCCCAGGGCCCGGTATCTCCGGACTTGAGGTATTTCTAGAATAAAGTAAATATTTGTAGAGTCGCTGTGTGCCAAGCTGTGCGGTGACAACCATCCATGGTCAAGACATGCTGTGTGCCTAGAGCTCACACCCGAGGAAGGCAGTGCCTGCAGGAGAGCCTTAGAATACCAAGAGAGTGAATGAGATGAGGAATGACTGGGAGGGCCGAGGGAGGCGACTTGAGAAATAAAATAGTGACATTGGCATGGAGAGAAGGAGCCAGCTGTGGCAGTGTGGGAAATGGGCTCCAAGAACTGGAGACAGCGGGTGCAATGGCCTGGAGATAGGAATGATGAGGGAAGTGCTGGTAGCAATGTGTGTCCTGCCTTCAAGGAACAGAATTAAACCCAGTGTGTGAATAGAGTGGGGCATGAGCCAAGTTAAATCGGGTCTTGGACAGTCACCTAGGTCCTTGACAATGGGTCAGCATCATAGCAGATTGCCTTTACTTGGTACCAGAATCACCTGCTTATCAGCTCTTGCTCCCAAACTTCCACCTGCATTCATGTTGACACAGCTCTGGCAGGCAGGTTCAGTCAGGTTTTGCATCCTTTTACCCAAGGGACCCTTGATACGTTCCAGCTCTTAGCAGTCTCCTGACTTCCCAGTCACCACAGCTTGCCTAGTGGGTGAGCTTTGCCCTGGAGTTGGCACTTTGCCTCTGTCTAAATGTATCTGATCGCATTATTTCTTTGACATGGACTAGGTGGGGTACACCGTGATTCAGGCACACTCTGCTCCTTCTTGACTCAGAGCTCCGTATCACAGAATGGAATGTGATCCAGGATGCAGAAGCGCAGACTGCCTGTTCTTCTTTTGTCCTGCTGGGGACACAGGGTATTGCACAATGAGCAAAGTTACTTAAGCAACCTATGTCCCAGTTAGGGTCATGACAAGGGTGCCACGAGCAGTCCTTGACCTCAGTATCACCATCTGTAAAATGGGAAGAAGAGTGGGAGCTGCAAATAATTTGTGAGGAGTCAGGAGCTTATCCATGGCCCACTGTGACTTCTAAAGGAAACAAAGTAAATAAAAGGAATCCAAAGATGGGTTCATTCTTTAGCGTCAGCTCCATGTCAAAGGGGGGAAAACATCTGCCAAAAGAAGCAGGGGAAAAGAGTATACTTTTTTGCTTGTAACACACTCAAATTTCTCTTCTGTCTGTCTCTCCCCCAAGCTTTTCTTCTGTGTCAAAAGAGCCCCTTCTCTAGCTCCTGTTGGAAATATGAAGACACGGAAGAAGGTTTTCATATTCTTAAAGTCAGAGAGACTGGTGAGGTCACATAGAAATGAGGCGCATGCTTGTGAAACAACTGTGCGTGGAGTTCAAAATGTTTTGTGTTGAACTAATCTTTTCATTCAGCTTTTTCACGCACAGTTTGAAACACCTTCCTCTGTTACCAGTGGCTGTGTTGATTCAGACAGGAACACTTTTGACTGAATAGAAATCATACTAAATGAAGGAGGAAGCATATTTGAGACATAAATACATCCACTGCAGTGTTTCATATCCTGCTGTGTTGCAAGAGAAGTTCAGCTGAATTCTATTCCTGGCCTGTATGTTTGCATCCAGCGTCCTTAGGCAATGGGACAATGATAATGAATACTGTGGCAGCTTGGCTTCTGCTCTACACTTAATCTTAGCCAAAAGGCCGAGAAGTGGTTTGACTTCTGGTCTTAATTAGAAATGACATGTGATAAGTCAGTCTGTTGGGCTGTAAGGTCCTTATCAATGAACTTTAAGCTATCACGAACACTTCATTGCCGAACATAACTATGTCCTCCCTCTAGATTTCAAAAGAAATACGTAGTTATTTCTCATCCAAGTTTGGTCTTGCCTTATTCACTCCTCTGTGTACTTCCGGCTCATACTGCATCTCCTTCAGAGTATAACTTTGAAAAAAAGTAACAGGGGAACCATTCGGACAGTAGCAGCATTTCTGGCAGACTATTTGCAGAAAGAAAAAACTTAATAAATATAAAGCAAATATGTCCAACAGCAGACACACTATTATAAACAGTGACAAAGGCGTGAAGTTATACTCATGGTCCACTCTCTCCACACGGGGGTTAGAGTACAGATTTATTATTTCTTATTTATTTTTATCTTAATTATTCATGTATTTCTTTGGAAAGCAAAGAGACCACAATAACCAGGTTGGTCCAGGCTAAAGCCGAGAACTGGGCGCTCCATCCGGGTCTCCCACAGGAGTGGCAGAGACCCTACTGCTTGCCATTACCTGCTTCTCAGAGCAAGCATTAGCAGGAAGCTGGAATCAGAGCAGAAGCTGAGGTGGGACTTGAACCCAGGCATTCTAATACAGAATGTAGGGATCCCCACAAGGGGTCACACCCCAATGCTTCCTTTCCAGAGTGCAGCTGTTAAAGTATAAACCAGATATTACGCCTTTATTGAAAACCAGTGTACTATTGTGATTAGGTAAAATCCAAACACCTTCTAATCCAAATTTTTCTCAAAGCCCCTTGTCTTAAACACCCTGTGTGTGCATTAGACCACTTTTGGTGTCACATAATAGAAAGTCTTAATTCTGAGTATCTCCAAAAATAGGAGGACTTAACTCATATAACCAGAGATGCGAGTGGGAGGACTGGCCTCCGGGATGATTCATGGAGCTGGCCGTGGCGTCGGGGGAGAGCAGGTTCCATGCCTCATCTAGGGGCTCCGCCATCCACAGCACATTAGCTGGCCCTCACAGTGTTTGGGTGTGGCCAAGGTTGACCCCAGCCATCACTTCCTTCCCTGCCAACCTCCTGTTTCAAGCAAAGACTCCACTTCTCTTTCTTGGGTCTTTCCTAGAAGCCTCCCAGCCACCGCCCCCCCCCACACACACACAGGACACAAGTCCACTCTGAGCTCAGGAGAAAGCTGAGAACGGGTTCTGACCAATAGAGAAGAGGGAGAATAGATTTGGGTAGGCAGTCCATGCCTTCTGCCACCTGCGTGGCTGCTTCTGACCTTGTGATCTGGACATTATCCTTGTTGTTCCTTTTGCTTGAAAGACTCTTCCCCGCTCCCATCTGCACGGTTGGCTGCCTTCCTCAGTAAGCTGCACTGTCAGCCTCTCCCAGCGCCTCCCTTGCTGGTTATCTGTAGACCCCACCTACACGTCCTTCTTCACCATATTTATCATCCTTGAGATTTACAAGTAGCGCTTTAGAAGATGTTGCTCTCCACTCCAACAAAGGCCCCTTGATTCCCTGCTCAGCCCTCTTGAAGCAGTGGAATATGGCTTGGAACAGTGCCTGACATATAATAGCTTCTCAGGAAAATACTGGTTGGAAGAATATAGCCAATAAATTCAGCAAGGAAAGACGTGCCACATTATCAGCCATCAGGGCGGCACAGGTGAATGCCACTTCCTACCCATCAGGAGGGCTGAAGAAATAAGTGCTGGCAAAGAGGGGGAGAAAGTGGAACCATCAGACGCTGCTGATGGGAAACCAGCCTTAAAAGCTTAAAAACACGGGAACAGTGTTTGACACAAGGGTTTGTTACTGCTTGGGATGCACGCATCTGACAATAGAGGGCCTGGCTTGAGCCCAGTCCTTTTATTTCCCACCCAGCTTCCTGCTAATATGCATCCTAGGAGTCAGAGATGATGGCTCAAGTACTTGGGTCCTTGCCATCCGGAGATCTGGAGTTCTTGGCTCCTGACTTAAATGTGCCGCAGCCCTGGGTGTTGCAGACATTCAAGGAGTGAATCAGTGATGGAAAGTCCTTCCCTTGAATATTTAAAGACCACAAGGGAGTAAAAGAAAATGACACACACTGACTTAGAGATGACAGCTTCCTCTGATGAGAAAAGGAGAATGGAAGAATTTTAGCTGTATCCGTCTTATTGTTAATACACTCATATTAGCTGGGAGCGCAGCCTGTACCACCTCCTAGCTGGCTTCCTTACCTGGGGCAAGTTTCTTGATCTATTTTTATCTCTGTTTCTGATCCGTAAAATGAGAATATTACCTGCCCCTTCCATGGGATCGTGGGTTAAAAGCAGAAAGACATTGAAGAAAATGATAAAATGTTAACTAACATCTGTTTTCTTCTTTTACTGGATATATCATGTATGCTTACACTGGGCCATGACTTAAAATTTAAAAATATGTATTTTTAAATTTTGATCCTAATGAATGTTTCCACTCTCATTGTGATGAGGCGGCCAAGGAGGCAAACATTTAGAGTAAGTCTCAGGAGCTTAGAGTTCAAGTTCTAGTGTTGGCCCACAGCCTGCACCGCCCCCATAAGCAGAAGGTAGCATATCCTGGCAGCAAGCTGGGTGTTTCTGATACAGAGGGTGAACCCAGAAAACCCTGACTCATGCTGTTGACGCCCAAGGAGTAAAGTCCCTGAGAGTTTCGATGCCCACAGAGGATAGGTGAACAGAAGGGTATGGCTCAATGTTCACAGCCCCCCAGAGTTAAAGCATCTGATGTTTCCCTAAATATACCACTGGCGGGGGGCGGGGGGAGGGGGCAACTGCATTGATCATAAGCCCACAGAGGTGGGAGTTGACACAAGGTTAACATCTGCGGGAAACGGACACACACCCTAGCCACTATTCCACAGTCCTTAAGCACAGTTCTCTGGCAGGCAGCCCTGTTGGTCATCTCAAGTGTCCGACTCATGGTGGGTGGTGTTTGTGGCCGTTTGACACTAATGTTCTTGATGTTTTTGTTAAGGCAGCTAAGAATGGAGCAACAGGCGTGGAGCTCGACATTGAGTTCACTTCCGACGGGATTCCCGTTCTAATGCATGATAACACGGTGGACAGGACCACCGACGGGTCTGGACGCTTGTGTGACTTGACATTTGAGCAAATCAGGAAGCTCAATCCTGCAGCAAATCACAGGCTCAGGTAGGTAGTTGACCGTCACGTAGATGTAATCTTTTAGCTTTCCATGGAGTTCCCGATGGTTGCTGGAACCTTCTAGTTATCTCATCTGTTCCAGGAGAGTTGTTTTGTTTTGCTATGGTGTGTTTTGAAAGCTATATACAGGTTTCCCAAGTAATAAGCCGGTGCCAGGAACAACAAATAAGGCATGTATGTTTTTAATCTTTCCCACTGAGGCCAGATTATTGTGTGAATTATTCTCAAGGTAATAGCCTTGTCTAGTTGCTAACATGGCAGTTATGCTGTACTGCCATTTCAGTTACAGATTCATGAGGCTGAGAGCAATTGTTTGTTAATCTTGTCGCTGGCAAGTGCACCAGGAAACATGCTATTCTTTCTTCTTTTTTTTTCGTTACCATTTTATTTGAATAGCGGAGAGAGAAAGAGATGTAGAAACAGGTGGAGCAAGCCCTTCCATCCACTGGTTCACTCCCCAAATACCCATAATAGCTAGGACTGGGCCAGGTCAAAACCAGGAGCCCAAAATCCAGTTTGCATATCCCATGTTGGTGGCAGGAACTCAAGCGCTTGAGCCACCGTCTGCTGGATTATCAGAAGGCTTAAGGGGCACCAAAGGGGCCAGGACTGCAACCAGGCACACCAGTGCAAATACAGGCAGCCCAAGTGATGACATAAAGGCTCCAGCCTTCAAAACCTGCAAGGATTATCACCTTTGTACTTCACTCTGTTATTCTTTGGATCTTTATAACCAACTTCAAAGGAATCATAAATTTCCAGGAATGGAAATATCTTCAGTATGATGTAGAATAGCTCTGTCCAGTGGAACTTCCAGTATTGATGGAAATGTTCCATGTCTGCATTGCTCAAAATGGTAGCCGTACATGGCTACTGAGTGCATAAAATGTAGCTAGGGGGCACGGCGGCATGGCCTAGCGGCTAAAGTCCTTGCCTTGAACACGCCCGGGATCCCAGATGGGTATAGGTTCACATCCTGGCAGCCCGCTTCCCATCCAGCTCCCTGCTTGTGGCCTGGGAAAGCAGTCGAGGATGGCCCAAAGCTTTGGGACCCTGCACCCATGTGGGAGACCCGGAAGAATTTCCTGGATCCTGGCTTCGGATCGGCATAGCATCAGCCGTTGCGCTCACTTGAGGAGTGAATCATCAGACGGAAGATCTTCCTCTCTGTCTCTCCTCCTCTCTGTATCTCTGACTTTCCAATAAATAAATAAATAAATCTTTTTTTAAAAAGTAGCTAGGGAAATAGGGGGAGGGCTGAATTTTTAATTTAAATGTAGATAATCATGGGACTACCATATTATATGCTACAGATTGGTCCAGCTTTTGGAGACAATCTCAGAAAAGTTCAGTAAATTAGTCAAAGGTGAATAGCTAGTTCCTAAAGTCACCGAGATGTAAATCTGTGTATTCTAAATTTGTTTTTCAGTGTTTCAAGTTAGTCCTCCTTCAACCCTGGTGTGGTTGAGGAAGCAGCTCAGGGAAAGCATCCTCTCCTTTGCACTGGGAGACATTGGTCAAAGATTCACGCTACTAAGCTTTCCTGCTTTCCTTTTTCCTACAACATGCTGTTCCTCTTCCTTCTCCTGCAGGAATGATTTCCCTGATGAAAAGATCCCCACCCTGAGGGAAGCTGTTGCAGAATGCGTCAAAAACAACCTCACCATCTTCTTTGACGTCAAAGGCCATGCCACTATGGTCAGTTCACCCTGTGTGTTACAGAGGCGTCGTACTTCATTGCTAACTGCTCCCAAAATTGACTATATATTTTCGTAAATTATTTTTGCAAATTGTGTCAGTTTCGTAGAAGTGTACAATGCACAAAACACACACACACACACACATCTTTAAAGAAATAATTATGGAACTTTTTAACCTTTTAACCCTTCATGGAACCTTATAATACCCCTGATATTCTGCAGCCAGCACAAAATGCAAATCAAGTTTTGTTTTCGCATGAAGCATTGACAACAGAGCTTAAGGGAAGATTAAAGAGGCATTTAAAGGTAGGCCAGGAATCAAACACAAGACAAGCTACTTCTGGCTTATCTGTTACCGGGGCTTGGCTGTACAACCAGGGACTGCATTTATGGAGAACACCCATATTACAAGCTTCTGATTGTCAGTGGGGTACCTTTCATGTAGTTCATTCCTCTAATTTCTATTTCTTATATATAGTTTTATGAGTTGAGGAGTTATACTTTTATCAGAAAACTAGTGTATTTTCTTCAGGTACATATGGTATTTTCAGATAAAATCTGCTGAAATTTTATGTTTCAACTCATAAGCATATATTGCAATGGGAAAATATGGTTTAGAAAATTACTATTAGTTTCTTCAAATATGTTTGACATTTTAAAATAACTTTTGCTGAAATCTTGTACTTGCACACATACAAATATATTTCAGTGGGCATGAATAGCGAAATGATTCCGATTACATTGTTCTCAAAAAAAAACCCAGCTTTTCCAAGTATAAGTAGGTTGTGTCTTCCTGTCTCCCCACCCTGCCCCAATCTGGGCAACTTGAATGTTCCTCTCCATTCCTCAGCAATATCTGTAATCAGTAATGGTCCCCTGCTTGGTCAGAATTTGGAAGATGCCAGTTTATTTTTTATTAACCCCTGGATATGTTAGAAACCAATTCTTAAAACCTAAAATGTGAACATACGTTTACATTAATTTTAGAATCGTCAACTTCCATTTTGGAAAAAAGAGATTGGAAACTTACTGGCAAATTGTAGTTGTATTCCTCTAGACTTTCTAGTTGATCTGGAATCTGCATTTTTACAAACATGGATTCCTGCCTTATACTAGCTCCAGAGGAGATTCTGGAAACATCTAGGGTGAGGTCAAGGAACTTGTGTTTCTAATGAATACTTCAGGCTTTGATGACAATGGGGCCCGCTTGTGGGAACAGTGACAGGTTTTGCATTTCGCCCACAATGTACCGACCATTGTACTTATTGTTAGAATAAGAAAAGGAAAAGAAAAACTAAGGTGAAGAACTCTTGTATTTTTAGCATCGTGCTCTTTGAGCTTTCTGGATGGGTACTCACAGGAGTCGAGCCAAGACTGGGTGAGGACATGGGGATCTAATTCTCCAGGTCAGTGGTGTCCAGGGGCAAGTGCTGGCCACAAACTGGAGCTAACAGAGTCCCACAGCCAAGATCATGGGCTTCAGGCTCCAACAGACCTTGACCGAGCTTGATAACTTACTACAGGGTGGCCTTAACCTTGAATGTTTCCTGGGTATCTGGAAAGAAACTACCACATAGGGTTATTGGGAGAATTAAATAAATAAGAAAGGTGAAGAATCCATGTGTCAGTTCAAATATTGAGAAAACTTGGGTCCTACAGTCCATAGTACTATCAGTGGATATTATTCAGTTATGAATAATACCTTTGCTTTTTTTTTTTTATGATGAGCAGGGATGCATTTTGTTGCTGTGTTTAGAGACCGATGTGTGGGGCATGTTCCAAGAATTAGCAATATTGCCCATCCAACAGGATGTCTGCTGACTCTTGATCTTGTTAGCTGCCACTGATGTTAGTTCCGTAGAGTCACAGTGTGTCAATATTTAAATTCTAGCATTGCTCCTTCATTTCTTAGCTACATGACAGCAAGAAATTTCTGTTCATCCGGGAAACACTGGGAGGTTTCTCTCTTCCAGATCTATAGCTCAGTTTTTCCTCTTGCCACCCCCTTCATGTCGGTGACAGACGATGGACCCTTTTAGACCCTGGACTGAGAGAAATCTGTCCTCAGCTCATGCTTCCTCCATGCAAGCCAGAGGGTGACAAAACTGTGTGTATAACAGAACTTTCCGTAGTGGCCAAACTGGGCTCTAAGGAGGAGATTTTAGAAGTTGGCACCTGACCTTCTGGCCTGCAGCTTGCCACACTTTCCCCACACTATGACACCCACGGATGAGCCTCCCAACAAGATGGGGGCATGCAGCAGCTCCCCCACTGCTTGCTGTGGCTGACATGAGTTAAAGGTGTACCCCATGAGTGGTATACCGATTGATTCAGTGGAGTCATACGGTTTCAGTGTCCCTTATCCAAAATGCTTGGCATCACAAGTGCTTTTGGATTGGGGAGTTATTTTTTCAAATTTTGAAAAGCTGGCATATTCTTACTGAGGTAGTTAGGGAAGTGACCTAAGTCAAAACAGGAAATGCATTCAGGTTTCATTGACATCCTATCCACGTAGGCTGAAGGCAGTTTTGCGCATTAAAGCTTGTGCGGGAATGTTTAGTAGTGAGGGATTTTCAAATTGTGATGTCACTGTTGGAGCTCAAAACACTTTGGATTTTGGAAGCATCTCCGATTTTGGATTTTCACATGAGGGCTACTCATCTATGTTTAACTCGCTGCATCTGTCATGTTTTAATAGATATTAAGGACATGAATCTCTCTGTTTTGTAGGCAACTGATGCACTAAAGAAAATGTATATGGAATTTCCACAACTCTACAACAGCAGCGTGGTCTGCTCTTTCTTGCCGGAAGTTATCTACAAGGTAAAATTCACCAGTTTCCTTGTGTTTGATTTCTAGACATAATAGCAGTGGGCCACATAAGCATGAGTTAAATGGAGCCACGCAAGATCATGCTTAGAGCTCTTTTAACAAGAGAAATTCCGGAAGAGAAATACACTCAAATTTTAAAATGCATGAATCCACTTCAGCCTTTGTTGTTTAATAGATTCATTTTGATTTCTTTGATAACATTCTCAGAGTGGAAGGGAATTCTGTGTCCCTACTTCTCACTAACTGATTGACAATACATTAAAAAATAATAATAAATTCAGTGAATTTAAAATGTGCATAAAAGTAGAGTGATACAACGAACCCCTCCTGCAACTAGAGTTCTGCTTGTTTCATCCAGGCCCCTAATGATAATCCTCAGTGTTCTTTCAGAGCAAACCATCGTTCCCTGCATCCAGATAGCACTAAATGTCTTTAGAAAGCAGCTGAGCCCAACACAATGGCTTAGTGAATAAAATCCTTACCTTGCAAGTCTTAGGATCCCATATGGGTGTCGATTTGTGTCTCGGCTGCTTTACTCCCCATCCAGCTCCCTGCTTGTGGCCTGGGAAAGCAGTAGAGGACGACCCAAAGCCGTGGGCCTCTGCACCTGCATGGGAGACCCAGAGGAGGCTACTGGCACCTGGCTTTGGATTGACTCCGTTCTGGCCGTTGTAGCCATTTGGGGAGTGAACCAGAGGATGGAAGATCTTTTTCTCTGTCTCTCCTTCTTTCTATAAATATGATCTGTCTTTCCAATAAAAATAAATAAATCTTTTTTTAAAAAAAAAAAAAAGAAGAAAAGTGGTGCCCGTTAAACAACATAGTCAAAATGCCTTTGCCCCATCTAAAAACTATTACTAGTAAGTCTTTAATGTCAACAGATGCCAGCATCAGTGCATAAATTGTCGCTTGTCTCAGAAACATCATAAGCAGTTTTTAGTTTGTTTTAACAAATTATTTATTTAAATCAATCAATAAATTCTGCATGTTACAATAAATAGAAGATCCAAGTTCTCTTTTGTGCCTTGCTTTGTATTTCCTGAAGAAGCGAGGTCAGTCCAAGTTTCACGGATTATGTCCTATTTCCTCTCAGTGTAGTCCCGGCTGGAGGCCCGAGGAGACCGGGGTTGGCTGTCCAACGGGCACACCACCCCACCCCTGGCTGATTCCTGTCGTCTGTGCCTGTTGATGCTTGGGGGCCAGGGGTTGCAACATGTTGAGTTTGACTTCTGTCATTTCCTCTTCGTGGATTAGCGAGAATCCTTTTGTAAAAAGAGAAGTTCTGCTCTGCCTTGTAGTTGCGCAACAGGCAGAACACACACTTAATCTTTCCCTGTACTGATTAGTTTCCAAAACAATGAGTTGACTGTGTTGCTCTTGGGCAGTGAAGGTGGAGCCTGCTCGGCTGTGAGCTATGATGGAGATGTACAGTCCCCGGGATGTACCCTCGCCTGATGCCAGAGGCCTTGGCCAGGGGAGGTCCTGTCTGCAGAAGGCCGGGACAGCACTGGCTAAAGGAGCACCTTCCACGTCCTCTGTGTCTCCCCTTGGCCCTGACTCTCAGTTCCCTCACCTCGCTCTCCCACCCATGTACTTTCCAACCCTCTAGGGACACCCAAGCTGTCCAGTCCCCCTGGGAATGAGCCTGGGTCCATCCTCAATGAGTTTGGATCCACCATCTCTGGCCAGAACTCAGATCAATAGCCAACTAAAAGCTTGTTTCTGAATGATAACTCTGCGATCAATACATGTACAGGGGATTGGACATCAAACAATGTGTGCATGTGTCAGAACATCACACATCATGCCCCCATAAATACGTACAATTTTTATATGTCAAACTTTTTTTAAGTTTATTCTCATACCATTATTAAAAGTTGATCTTTTTTTAAAAATTTATTTTTTATAGGAAAGTCAGATATACAGAGAGGAAGATCTCCCACCCATTGATTCACTCCCCAGGTGGCCATGATGGCCAGAGCTGAGCCAATGCGAAGCCAGGAGCCTCCTCCTGGTCTCCCATGTGGGTGCAGGGTCCTAAGGTTTTGGGTTGTCCTTGACAGGCAGGGAGCTGGATGGGAAATGGGACTGCCACGATACAAACAGGCACCCATAGGGATGCTGGCGTGTGCAAGGCGAGGACTTTCATCACCAGGCTACTGCGCTGTCCCCTAAAAGCTGATCTTGAGGGCCAGCATTATGGCATAGTGAGTAAAGCCACTGCCTACGATGCTGGCATCCCATTTGGGTGCCAGTTTGTGTCCTGGCTGCTTTACTTCTGATCCTGTTCCGTGTTAATGTGTCTGAAAAAAAGCACCAGAGGAAGTCCAAGTCCCTGGGCCTTTCCATGGAGGAGACCAAGAGGAAGCTCCTGGCTCCTGTCCTCAGCCCGGTGCAGCCCTGGGCATTGCAGCCACTTAGGCAGTGAAGAAGCAAATGGAAGATTCTCTCTCTCCCTCTCTCTGAATATGACTTGCAAATACATCCATAAATCCTTTTTTTTTTTTTCGAGCCAGTCATTTTCTCAATGCGCAGAGTTGCAGCGCTTAGGATCGTGAGAGAGGGCTCTTGCTTGCTCTGTGCACCAAGCACTTCACACTAATCACGGTCCTTTCTCCAAGGCCCAACGGTGGAGGACCTGTTAGGAGACATGAGGGCAGCCTGCACGCTGCGACCACCTCACTGGCTGCATCTCAGCGGGACTGTTAGGCTTCCACATGGTGGTGATTCCCATGGCACCATTCCTTTTCAGATGAGACAAACAGACCAGAATGTGATTACGGCTCTCACTCACAGACCCTGGAGCCTCAGTCACACAGGAGACGGGAAGCCACGCCACACGTCCTTCTGGAAACAGACCACGTTTGTGATCCTGGACATTTTGCTTGACTGGAGCATGCACAACATCCTGTGGTACCTGTGTGGGATTTCCGCTTTCCTCATGCAGAAGGATTTCGTATCCCCGTAAGTGCAAAGGTTTGGGGGATTTGGAGATTTATTGGGTTGTTGGTTTTAATCTCCTGGTACGCTTCCTGGATGTTCTGGACATAGGAGAGTAGACGACCCACGTTGATTCCGATCCCAAAGTGGGTTGTGTCTGCGTGAAGTTGGAATGCTTCTTAGGAGGAAAGAGTTCAGATGTGTCACTCTGATTCCAACACAGCTGAATCAGTTACTCTTTTTTGTTTTGTTTTTAGTGCATTTTAAACAAAAGATGAACCTGTCACTGTGGTGAGAGCACGGTAGCATTTCTTGCCATTGGCTCCCTTTGAAAACCAACACAAGATCCAGGGCAGGGCCACCGTGAGAATGCTCTCTGGGCGCCTGCCTTAGGCCTACCAGTGTCCTTCCTAATCTTCTGTCCCTCACAGATGGTCCACATCTCCCAAGGAACTTGCAGTTCCCAACCCGCCATCCATCTTCAAATCCATCTTTGGGCCATTTTGCAGCTGTTTGTTTGCAGTGCCTTAGAACTGTCAGTTTCATTTCTATCTCAGGCATGCTTGCATTCCACACAGTAAATAAATACTTGGCAAATGCCTATGGAATTGCACGGTGCTTGCTGTACTAAAAAAAGTTACAGCAACGAAGCACGCAGGACATAGCTTCTGCCCTCGTGGCCCCAAGAGAAGAATGTGGTGTGAGGTAAGGCCAGACTGAGGCACAAGGACTAAGTCAGGCCCACCTGCAGCAGCTGCTGAGGCCGGACATTGAGCAGAAGTCAGGGTGGTCATCAGGGGCCAGGGGAGTGTCTAAAGCTGTGATGTCATGGGGGTGAGGCCCAGCCCAGGGAGCAGTGCAGGGGCCGGTCAGTGGGCTCCATCTGGCTGTGTCGCAAAGCCCATGCTGAGTGGCCGTAATAGGTTCCTGGGCCAACCAGTCATGACCCTAACAGGACTGATGTTTCCTCTTTCTGCAGGGACTACCTGAAGAAGTGGTCAGCTAAAGGCATCCAGGTGGTAGGCTGGACCGTGAACACCTTTGATGAGAAGAGCTACTACGAATCCCACCTCGGTTCCAGCTACATCACTGACAGCATGGTGGAGGACTGCGCGTCTCAGTTCTAGACTCAGCCTCCCGAGAGGAAGCTCGGGTTCAGAAGCAGGCCCACTGGTCCCTGAGTAGGGGTATCAGTTCACCCCTGGCGCCAGCCCGAGCCCAGGGGACAGGGGGACTCACCCAAGCAGTCGACAGCAACTGCATTTTTTTTTACCTGAACTCAAAGCAGACCCTGTGTTGCCACCGTGCTCCACGGAAAGTTCAAGTTCAGTGCTGTTGCTCTTAAAACTCTGGGTCTGAGGTAAGGCACAAGAGCGTCTCCCACCCCAGCCAGCCAAAGCACACATCAAGACCCAGTGAGGACCAGCACAGACCTGCTCTGCCATGGGGGCAGGGGGATGCGGATGCACATGCATGGGACCTGCATGACCACTCAGAGGTGACATCCACAAACGTGCCACACTTAAGTAACTTATTTATAACATGTTGACGATGTACTGTAGATATCAAACTTGTGCGACCACACTAATAAAATCATTAAAAGGAGCCCTAGAGGAGATTTTTGTGCCAGGTATCACACCACAGAGCCTGGGAATTTGGGAAAGCTGCTCTGTGTCATCCAGTGAGGCCTCGAAGGGCAGCAACCCAAAGCTAGAACCCAATCCCAGGGATTCTCTAGGGAGCCTTGCAGAAAGAGCCTCTAGCCAGTAGGGGAGCAGAGTTGCACCATTTCAGATGTAGGAAGCTTAATGGCAATGGTAAGCGTACATAGACAAAATAGAAGGCAAGAAAGTTCCAGCCTTTTTTTTGTGATGCAAAGCTGTCTTCCCCACCTCGGAGCTCCACCTCCACCCCATCCGTGGCTTCTACCATAGTCCCACCAATCAGGCCTGACTGCCTCCTGCCTCCTGTTGGCAACAGCCTGGTGATGAGAGTTCAGGAGGACTACCGATGAAGCCCGCTAGATGGCAGTGGAGAGCATGTTGAGGTTTGCAACAGTTGGTGCTGGTAGGTTTGACAGGCAGAGCTTGGGACATTGTCCATCAACCTTTACAAAGCCAACTTCCAGAATTTTAAAACAGAGATTTGTTCAATGACTGAAGGTCAGGAACACATACATATCAATGCCATCTTACCACCAGAATGATGGGCAGGGGGAAGAGTAACCCAAAAGAACACGTGGATGGCTGAGGCCAGCCCTGGAACACCCTGGAAGCCTGATAGCCATAGAAGGGAAAGGCAGATGATAACACAGTGTCCCTGCTACAGCGTGTACACCTCTGGGGAACCAGAGTGCTCTGCCTCTTGACCTTCCTCCCAAACCCATTCTGTCCTTGATTCTTTCGGGTCCAATTAAGAAGTTAGGTCCTGGCCTGATGCCGTGACATATCAGGTTAATCCTCTGCCTGTGATGGTGACATCCCATATGAATGCCAATTTGTGTCCTGGCTGCTCCACTTTCAATCCAGCTCCCTACTGACAGCCTAGGAAAGCAGCGGAGGATGGTCCAAGTTCTTGGGCCTGTGCACTCAATGTGGGAGACCTAGAAGAAGCTTCAGGCTCCTGGCTCTGGACAAGCCAAGTTCCAGCCAGTGTAGTCATTTGGGGAGTATATCAGGAGATGGGAGATCTCTGTCTCTCCTCTCTGTAATTCTTTCTAAATAAAAATAATTTTAAAAGAAGTTAGGTCCTGGGGTCAGCTCTGTCGCATAGTGGGTAAAGCTGCCACCTGCAGCCCTCACAAACCATATGAACACTGGTTTGACACCTGGCTGCTCCAATTCTGAGCATGCTCCCTGCTAATGCATCTGGGAAGGCAACGGAAGATGACTCGGGTCCTTGGGCCCCTACACACTCACGTAGGAGACCTAAAAGCCCCTTGCTTTGGCCTAGCCCAACCCCAACCTCTTGGTTATTTTGGAAGTGAATCAAGAAAATGAAGTGCTCTTTGCAACTCTGCCTTCCAAATAAATCTTGAAAAAAGAAATGTATTGGGGTTTGGCACAATGCTTCAATGGCTAAATCCTCATCCGGCAAGCACCAGGGTCACATATGGATGCCAGTTTATGTCCTGGGTGTACTACTTCCCATCCAGCTCCCTGGTTGTGGTCTGGGGAAGCAGTAAAGGACAGCCCAAAGCCTTGGGAACCTGCACCCGCGTGGGAGACCTAGAAGAGGCTCCTGGCTCCTGACTTGAGATTGGCTCAGCTCCAGCTATTGTGACCACTTGGGGAACAAATCAGTGGGTGGAAGATCTTTGTCTCTCTTCCCATAAATTTGATCTGCCTTCCCCAAAATTTGGTCTTCCAAAAATTTGATCTTTTTTTAAAAACTATATTAACACAATGAACTAGACCCTTCTTTGGAAGGTGTAATAAAGGTTAAAAACAGACTTTGGGATCAGAGGAAGCCAAATCTGAATTCCTGATCAGCAACTATGACCTCGGGCAAGTGACATAATTCATCTAGAAAACAGGTAGTGTTAGTACCACCTCAGGAGGCGACTATGACATGCAATGTTCGTTTACCCACACTCATTGACAGCCTTGCACGAAGCGGGCACTGCTTTCAATGCTACCCATGTATTTTCTCCTTGCTACGACACCATGGGACAGGTGCCGTGATCATCCCAGTTCATAATGAAGGAAACCAGAGCAAAAGGAAGCCAAGCATGTCACCGAAGTCGCACAGCAGTGACAGAACGAAGATGGTGTTCAAAAGCCGGCACTGACCCCAGCACGGACATACCCATGGGAGACACCTCTGTCATTCCCGGCACGAGCTACAGCGCCAGTCCTGCCTGAGCGTGTGGGTTTGAAACCTACTGAAATGCTTTTTACATTCAGCACCAATCAAGGTTCACAACAGTGCTCACTGGAGAGCAGAGGGCCCCTTGAGCAAATGAGCAATTGCACCTTTCTGTTGGATGCTTCCGTTTCCTTTTGCTAACATATATTTGCAAGGCAAAGTGACAGAAGCACTGAGGGAAGGGAGGGCAAGGAGAGAGAGAGATTGATTCCATCCACTGACTCACTGTTCAAATGTCTGTAACGCCTGGGGCTAGGCTAGGGTAGAAGTGTGAACCCAAAATGCTGGCTGAGTCTCCCACACAGGTAGCAGGGGCTCAAGCACCGGGGCAGTGAATCACTTGCCAAGCTTCCGAAACAACGATGCACTACATACATTTGCACACATATATTTATTCCACACCATCACAGCTGCTTCCATGTTTGGTCCAATATAAAGCATCAGTGATTGCGCACCTACCTTCTAAAGGCAGAGTCTCCCATTCCACCCTACCCCAACTGAACCCCAAAGATGGAGGTGCTGTGCATGCCAGAACACAGAAAGGAGAACTTGAGGATGACAAGGGGATGTTTTTAGTTCCACGTCACAAATGAAACAAATGCAGGTTCTGCAGGTCACAGATTTCAGGAAGTCCATGGTTGAGGATCCCATGTTGATTCAAGTTTAGCTTTTCTGGAATCTAAGCCGTTGTCCTGTCTGGAAGGCCTGGGAAGCAAAATTCCTAAGGACCAATCACTGACCCACACATCTTTCAGCAATAAAATGTGTCATGCCCCAGGTAACTTTCATCCCAGATTTTTACAAGCTTGTCTCAATATGATAACTGTCTTTATTGAAAAACTCCAACATTTTTGTTTTGGAAACTCAGCAATCCAGGTGTATTTACTTCACAGTCAGGTTCTGCTACTGGCTAAAGACTTAAACTTCCCTTTCTTGGTTAAGTCCCTAAAGGCTCAGGTATCACAAAGACAGTTGTTCCACTTTTGCTTTTTTTCCTGCTTTGATTGGCACATGGCTATTGAAGCAATCATCGGGGCTTCGGTCTGTCCTCCGGAGCAGATCGCCTGTACCGCAGGTCTGGGTTGACACAGGAAAGACAAGTCAATGTAGACAGCCATGCCCGGGCCCACCTCTGCAGAACAGGCCCTCGAGACCCCAAAGCCCCTCACACATCCTCCTTTGCCACTTCCTTTTCCCATAAACCTTGAACACCCATCATCAGACACCAACAGTAAACACCATGTCCAAAAGTCCAATGGGTTTGTTCACTTCCTCCCTGGCATTCATCTTTCTTCTGGGACCAGCCCCAGGTGCTCCCTGGAAAGCCACTTGTCCCAACTCTCAGTCCCTGCGATCTGCAGAGGGCTGGGCCACCTGTGTCCACTGATGAGGGGAGTAACCCAGACCTGGGTAATGAAATCACATTTTCACAGACTGTGATTAGTTCTCGGATTATCATGACCCAATCAGATCCAACAAAACACTGAGGATCCAGGGACCTTTTGCCCCAGAGTGAATCTGAGAAGATAAAAGCGGCTGCCTTTCCATGGGTAGAAACAGCCTGTTTACAAAAGGATTTAACATAGAAAAGAAAAGAAATAAACTGAGTTCTAGTAACATTGGTGAGCTTCTGTTTTGGGGAAAGGCCGAAACAAGAATTACTCTTCATTTGGGCTAAAGCCAATTTGCACCGGGTTTGCAATGGAAAGAGTGGCTGATGTACCAGCAATTCTGACCTTGAGTCTCAGGCTGTTAACACCCAGATAAATTCATGGTGTATCCTGTGACAGGTCAGTTACTCACCAGGAGTAGCTTCACGGTCCCCAAAGTGCAAAGGGTCTTGATGCTGAAACAGAACCCAGGCAGCCACATCACAAAGAATGCCCACCCTGGGGCTTCCTGCTTAGATGGTGAGATTTGTGAGCACCCCACCATTTTTTTCGCAGTTGAGAAGCAGAGAGCCAGAGAGCGAGCCCTCATCTACCAGTCCACTCCCCAAATGGCCACAGGGACCAGGCCTGGGCTAGGTTGATGCCAGTAACCAAGAATTTGATTCAGGCTTTCCGGATGCCAGGCTGGAACCCAGTCTCACGAGTCGTCATGGCTTCCTCAAAGGGTGTGTCTGGAGTCAGAAGCTGGAATCAGGAATGGGGGCCAGGTATGGGATGCAGGCATCTTACCAAGTAATTTAGCCACGAAGCTAAGCATTCATCTCCCTACCATATTTGTAAATTAAGGCATGTGGAGCAGGTGTTTGGCCTAGTGGTACCCATTTGAGAGTACCTGGGTTTGATGCTTGCCTCTGGTTCTGGATTTCAGACCCTAGGAGTTTAGCAGGGGATGCCCCAGGTAGTTGGGAGACCTGGAGTGAGTTACCAGCTCCTAGCCAATCTGCTGTATACATTTGAGGAGTGAAGCAGCAGATGGAAAAATAAGTCTGTTTATTTCTGTCTCTCATAAAATGGGTTACAAATTAAGACCATAGTTCATCCATACAGAAATAGCAAACATGCTTTGGTTTCTAAGAACAGCCATTCCACTCTTTCCTTCCTTCATTCACTTTCACTAGGTAATACATCAGGTGACCTCCCGAGGTCCATGAAAAAAAAATGCAATTAAAAGGTTAAATTTATTCTGATGCAAAAACTTTTTTGAAATTCATACATAGCGTCTTATAATGTGCACTTTCTACTATTTTAAAGAAACCTTATATACATGGATTTCAAAGTTTTCTGCACCAAAATAAATTTTTCTTTTAATTCCATTTCCCACAAACTTTTTGAAATACTCAGGCATTCAGAGCTGAGGTGACAGGGTGCAGTCATGGCAAGCAAATGAGCCCCAAGAGGGCAGAAGCTTGATTTTGTTGCCAATATTGCAGTACTGAGAACAAGGCTAGGCATGGAGAGTGTTCAGTGAATGAATGTTATCAATGACAACAACAACAACAGAAGTGCTTCCACCTAGCCCTAGAAGGAAGGGGGCTCCTGCATGATTCTGAGGGCTCAGGGTCTAGCAGTTGCCTAATGCACTTGTCACAAGGAAACAAGGGTGGGTTCCAGAAGGTTCCCAAGACAGCCTCACCTCCACCTCTCTCCTTTCCAGAATGAGTGAGCTGGGGTTTGCTCTCTTCTCTGTATCCTGGAGTTTGATCAACTTGTCTATCAGAAACATCTTATCTTTGCCTTCCTGCAAAACAATAAAAACATTTTGGATGAGTGATGCTGCGTAGCTGAGAAGCCATTGGTGAAACGAAGTGTCCGGGAATTAGATGGAGAATATGGCCATATTTTGTTCTGATGATAGAAAATAAACATTGCACAGCAAAGCCAAAGGGTCCACCAGAGCCTCCTGCATTGTTATATTCTGCTCTAAAGTTTAAGCGGGATGGGATGGGGAGCATAATTCCAACCCAGGAATGGCAATACGGGATGCAAGTGCCCTAGTCAATTCTAAATCTCCAGGCCAAATGGTCAACCAAGGATTTGCATTTTTAACAAGCATCTAGGTGCTTTTGATGTTGTAAGATCAAAAATAACTTTGTGAGGAGAGTCATTGCAGAGTCTACTCCCAGCCTCTTTTGTCTGAGTTCTTTTGGAAACAATGCCCTCCCTCCCTTTGTGGTCCATCTGCACGCAGGTGTGTGGTGATGACTATCTCATTAGTGCACCTGACATTACCCTTACAACTCAAAGCATTAGGGAGAATCTCTCCTTTGTTGAGATCTTCCAAAAGCTTACCCAAATGGCTCACAGCTCTGCATCAGAAATGCATTGGTGACATTCCAGGGGATACGGAGAGAAAGAGCAAAGGAATGCAGGCTTTCTTTTGGCATTCCATAAAGACCAGCGCAAATGATCAGAGACCTTGAGGATTCAAGCCAGTATAATCTGTTTCTTTCTTCTGCTCATGGCTATTCAGCTCTCACGTTACAGTTCCCTGGTTATTTGCAAGAAAAGGGAACCCAGCTACACTAAGCACAGACTGTAGTCTGTAAAAACCATTTCTCCTTCAAGAAACGGCTGCTTCTAGGAAGCAAGGAATATGGCACAGTCAATATGACGCCAGCTGAAATGGCCATTACCATATCAGAGCATCTAGATCTCAGTTGTGTTTATGCCATTTCTGGCTCCAGCTTCCAGCTAACACATACCCGGGGCAGCAGCAGGTAATGACTCCATTGCTTGGGTCCCTACCTCCTACATGGGAGACCTGAGCTAGGTTCTGGGCTCCTGGTCTCACTGACGCCAGCCTCAGCTGTTGTATATAGATAGAGTATAAACCAATGGATAGATGATCTTTCTCCAACTAGCTGTCTATGTCTCTGCCTTTCCAATAAAAAAAAATAAATAAATAACTCCCAGTATCTAAAGAAGTGACTATATGAGCATTAAAAGAGACTAAAAATGGCGCTGGCATTGTGGTCCAGTGGGTAAAGCCTCCACTTGTGTCCTGGTTGCTCCACTTCTGATCCAGCTCCCTGCTAATGACCTGGGAGAGGCAGCAGACAAGGAGCCAAGTGTGTGGGCCCCTGAAACATATGTGAGAGGCCCAGATAACTTCCTGACTCCTGGCTTTGGCCTGGCTCAGTGTTGGTGATTGTGGTCATCTTGGGAGTGAAGCAGCAGATGCAGGTTCATTCTCTTTCTCTCTCTCTCTCTCTAACTCTGTCATTAAAATTTAAAGAAACAAATTTTTGAATATGTCCATTACAAAGTGGGAGAATGATAGCAGAAGGATCCAATGAGACTTACGTTAATAATCTGCTCATGGAGAAGCCTAATCATTATTTTTCTTCCCTCCGTGATCTGCCAGTAAAGATAGGTGATGATTCTGGAAGACAAGAAATAAATGGATAACACTCTTGCCAGTGCTTTGAATTCCAACTGGGCACAAAGGAAGCAGAATATTTGCTTGCACATAGGTTCTATTCCAAACATGTTCTCAGAAAGTTGTGTCAGGGTGTTACTGGTTACAAACATTAGGGAAATGCATGCTTCAGTTGGCTGTACTTGGAATCATCTGGAAAGCTGGAAATAGGATGTCTGTCCTGATACCTCCACTGACCAATGAACTGAGAGTCTCTGGATTTGGGGCCAGATGTTTTAAAGCATCTGTAATTTTTTTTATTTATTTGTTTGTTTGTTTGTTCTTAATGCACACGATCTTAGAATGCAGTTGGAGTTTGCAGTTCACACTTCAGTGTGATCCAGGTATCTGGGATTCTGTCAAGCGCAGATGTTGATGCGATAAGGCCTAGCGTCAAGCCTGAAATCCTGCCTTTCTAACACACCCTCCTTGTGATGAGCACACAGAATGTGTCTTTGTCCCTGGTTCCTAGCATAGAGCTCCTGAAACTCTTGCAATCTCTGGCATAATGATTCTCTTGTGTATGCCAGTAATAGGTGGCGACAGCTTAGGATGGGGCTACTCATAATGAGGATCAAGGCTTGGTCATAAGGTTGACCATTCAGTCTCTGCCCTGCCCCCTCCTGCCCTTTGGGGCTCAACACGGAACTAATCAGCAGCAACAATGACATCATCAGTGTGACCAACCTAAGGAGCGCAGGAAGTTCCACATCACCCTTGTCCCCAGACCTAGTCTCGGATGTCTCTTCCACTTGCAGTTCCCGAATTGTGTCCTTGTCATAAACTGCCAATGGTAGAGTGTGCCTCTCTGAGTTCTGTGATTCACTTTAGTAACTTGCCAAATCCGAGGAGGGGGTAGTAGGACCGCTAGAAGTGCAAGGTAGCAGTCTAGAACAAGTGATGGGCCTTTGAAGAGGAAACAGCCTTGAACAACTGAGTCCTTCACTAGTGGGATCTGATGCTAACTCCAGGAGGAAAGCACAAGAATGAACTGGCTCATGAGACATTCAGTCGGTGTCCTGAGATTTGGAGAACTGATTGGTACAAGGAAAAAATCACACCCACAAACACATCTGGTGTCAGAAGCATGAGTGAAAACAGCACAGAGATGGTGAATTAGAAGTTTGGAGGATCAAGGCACCAAGGAGAAGTCACCATTCCAAGGAGGGCATGGCAGGCAGCTTGGTATGTGTCCTGAGAGCTTGTAGCTTTTCCCGACCCACTCTCCCAGATGCCCCGACTTACAGCACAATAAGAGTGAGGATGAAGAAGAAGTGCACACTTCCAATGAGGTTCTGATAGATCCAAACCACCCACAGGTAGCCAGGCCTTCGGCTTAGGGTGTCGATCCAGCTGTAGATGGAGTGAATGAAGAAAGGCAGGCCTCGAAAGGGCCCACAGTCAGCAGATGGTTTCAATCTAGGAAAACCAAGGGGTACAAAAGTCATATTGAGGGCAAGAGGCAGGTATTCTCATTCTAGAATCAAGACGTCTCTCTTGGCTGTGGCCCTTTGGGGATCAGAGTGGAGTCAAAGGGAGATGAGATTGGAGGGTAGAGGGGAGCCAGATCAGACAGGGTCTCTCAACTAATTTGAGGGAAGTTCTGTTCTCCCTGGGGAGGGATGGGCCTCTCTACCCATTCGGAGAAGCCTCAGTGCCTGATAGAAGTAAAGTGAGGCAGCTATTCCTCACCACAGGTGCTTGATGGCACTGACTGTATGAAATCCATTCCCTTCCGTGTTCTGAGCGTTTGCTGTGTGTCTAGGGAACCTGGGCCAGGCACTGCACTGGGCATTGCTTTGAGTCCCACGTTTTGACAGCTGAGGTCTTATGGACTCTGGGATTCACTGGGAATTATGACTTTCACAGGTGAATCATGGATCCAGAACTCACACTCTTCCTCCGCCCCCTCTTTACCACCTCCTCTTTCACTCTGGGCCACTATTCCCTCATCACTCCAGATGCCACTCAACTCAGGGCAGCCTCTCCAGCCCCAAGCCTGCTGGAATGATGCCAAGTAGCCAGTCCTAATGCTGCTTCCTCTACCTTATCTATTTCTGATATGGAAATCACGGTAAAGCCTCTTGTCTAGGTTTCTCCTCACTTCCTCTTCTACTTGATCAATCCTGGGACTCCCCCATGTAGCCACACATGGCCAGGAGTGCCTCCTATTCTTGGGAATTGTGAGTAACCAACTATTTTTTCAATGGCAACTGTTTGCTGATAGGTTGGTCTCAAACTAGCTGAATAACAATTAAACCTACATTTACATTTTAATTAGTTTATTTGAAAGGCAAAGTAGGCAAGAGATAGATGAGTTTCCATCCATTGCCTCGATGCCTACAACAGCCAGGGCTACCAGGCTAAACAGACAGGCCTGGAACTCAACCTGGGCCTCCTTTGTGGGTGGCAAGGAGCCAAGTACTGAGCCATCTGTTGCTACTTCTTGGGGTGTGTATTAGCAGAAAGTGGGAATCAGGAGTCAGGTCGGAATTCAAACATATGCCTAGCCACTGTCTCCATTGCTGGGCCAAGCACCTGCCCCTAAAACTACGTTTCAGAACAAATGGTCATTACACCCAGTCTCTAAAACTTCATCCAAGGCCCCCATCTCCTACCTCCAGATGGTGATGGCCAAGGTGCACAGGACTCCGGTGAAGGATGGGAAAAAGAGCAGCAAGATGAAGAGGGTCATCATCTGTGAGGCCCGCCAGGCTTTGCTGGGTGGCTGGAAATTCATCATTAGGCTGATCTGCAGAGAGAGAGGGGCAGTACACTCCCATGTGCCACCAGGGGGAGCCAGCCATGCCCCTGCCTCCTGACCCCTTCCCAGCTCCAACCACCCGCAGGTCACACAGGTGCCTGGGCAAAGCCCGTTGCTTGCAAATTCAGACTGACTCACATTTTTGACGTAAAACATGATGAAAAGAGAAATCATTTGGATAAAGGGCAGCAGAGGGCAGAAGAAGATTCCAATCCTGCCAAGGAGAGATGCTGAGCATTAGAGACCATGGCAGACCAGGGGACTGGGGGCAGAGAGGGGGCTGTACAGGGAAGGGCGAGAGGGTGCTGCAGTTTGAGTTGTGTCCCTCCCCAACTAAAAAAAAATCCAGTACCACCGAACATGACAGAATCCAGAGAGGGGGCCTTCAAATGGCAACTGGGTTAAAGTAAGGTCACCATGGCGGGCTCTGATCTAATAGGACTGGGGTCTTCAGAAGACACAGGACAGAGACACGTGTGGAGGGAAGAGCAGGTGGGGTACACAAGAAGAAGGTGGCCATCTGTAAGCCAAACTATTACCCAGCATCAGCTTATTTACTCACAGCAGTTTTTTAACCACCAACAACAAAATCCATGAGTGTTCATAAGTCCTTAGGATCCAGCAATTCCGCTCTGGCAGGGTATGTACTAGAACCAAAGCAAGATCTCAAAAGGGAAGGCTATAATACAGATGAGCCTTACGAGCAACAAGCCAGGGACACCAAGGTGGGTATTGTTTATTTCCACTTGTGGGGGGCAGCTGGAGGGCTCAGATTCCCAGAGGAATAAGCAGAAGAGTAGCCACCAGAAACCAAGGATGGGAAGGAAATGAGAAGTGAGTCAAGGAGTTAGAGATGTAAAGTTGGTTAAAGGAATTTCAGTTTTGCAAGAAGGCAAAGTTCTGAAGACCCTGTAATCATGTGGTTATACCTCTCACTTATTAAAATATTCCTCTCACTTAAATAAAAATATTCTATTTGGTTATTTTAAAATATTTATATTTGAAAGGCAGAGAGAGAGAGAGGAGAGAGCTTTCATGTGCTGCTTTGCCCTCCAAGTGGCCACCAACAGTCAAAGCTGAGCCAATCTGAAGCCAGGAGCCAGGAGATTCTTCAGGATCTCCTATGTGGGTGCAGGGGCCCATGGACTTCGGCCATCTTCCACTATTTTCCTGGGCACATTAGCAGGGAGCTGGATCAGAAGTAGAGCAGCCAGGAGTGAAAATGGTATTGGGATGCCAGCACAGCCAGCAGTAGTTTTATGTGCTAAGTGACAGTGCCAGGCCCCAATAAAAAATTTTTAAAGAATGTTCATAAGGTTAACAACATTCCTAGCAGCTCTGCTAATAAAACATGTTGGAGTCAGACACTCGTGAGGCACTAACACATGTTTTCAATCTTTTTCAAGATTCTGATGTGGAAACTATTATCTGTTTCACTGGAAGGTTAGAAAACTGAGGCCTGGAGAGAGTTTAAGTAGCTTTCTGAGTTGTCCTGCTGCTTGAGATCACGTGAGTGGAAGATTCTGTAGCTTGCCAAGTTGCTGGCAGTGACCTGGTAGGCAGTAAATGCATTACCTACACCACCAGAGCAAAGACTGCCATTGCTAACCTAAACCCAAGGATGCTTGGAGCTACCTGCAGACAGCCACGCCACCCAGGGAACCCCACAAGAGTTTAAAAGAAAACTCCATCTCCAAGGCTTAGGGGAACTGACAAAGCCGTCTGCATCCACTCTCACATTTAACCCCCTGTACCAGAGTGAGGCTCAGAGAAGGTCATGACCCCAGTGAGTACCAGAGCCAGCCCCCAAATCCAAACTAATCCAAAGTCAAGTCCATGACTGCAATCAGCCAGCGCTAGAGGACAGAACCAGGAACTTCATTTCCCCGCCTCTGCTGAGACACAGAGGCCCGGTCCTGCTTTCTATGTCTAAGGACCACGAGAAATGGGAAATCAGCATGAGGAGACAACACCCCAAGGCTGACACCAGCAAACTGCACACACACAGCCCGGCCATTTTTATTGGAGAGACAGAGAGAAAGATCTTCCATCTACTGGTTTACTCCCCAAGTAGCTGCAATCGCTGGAGCTGAACTGATCCAAAGCCTGGAGCCAGGAACCTCTTCTAGGTTTCCCAAGTGGGAGCAGAGAGCTGGATGGGCAGTAGAGCAGCTGGGACACAAACCGGAGCCCATATGGGCTGCCACTTGGAGGTGGAAGGTTAGCTTATTGAGCCCTTGCACCAGCCCCATATGTCACCTCTTACATAAGAACCACTCAACACCCACAGGACACTCTCCCCGTTTCCGAGGCCCCTGATATGGCATCAATAGCCATGTCTGTCCTCCACCACTCCTGTAGTCTGACAGCAAGCAGCCGGGTCCTCTCTTCTCCCCTCAGCCTGCAAAAAACTTTTTTCTCACTCTTCTTCTTCCCCTCCCTTGCCACATGGGTCTGCAGTCCCAGTCCCCATCCCCTCACCCTTGTAATGAACATTAAAAAAGTAATGATTTTATTATGAAAAAATATAAAGATTGGTAAATATAGATCTCTTCACTACTAGGGTAAAAAAAAAAAAAGAAAAGAAAAAGAATAACAGACTCCAAGTCCACAGTCAGACAGGCACCAAAGGCATCCTGCAGAGCCATGGAACTTACCACACCAGAGTTTGTGCATAGATCAGTTCTAGAACGTTCCTGGCAATGTCAAACTCCTGTAAGCCAAGACTCGTGATAAACCGCATTCCGATGATTCTGTAAAAACAACCAGAGGTTAGTGCCCAAACTATAAAGCCCTATGAGCAAAGGAGACCCTCACCAGTTTAGAGTCACAGTCATCAAAATGTTTTCCATAAAATAACTGGGTGGGGGGGGGGTTCAGGGGAGATGAAACTGACACAACGCAGTAAAGTAGGGGACTGCTAACGTGATCTTTGAAAAAATTCTAGAGTGGGTAGACATCTGGAACAGTGGTTACTTTGCTGCTTGGGGCATCAGTATGCCATATCAGGGTGCCTGAGTTCCAGTCCTGGTTCTACTTCTGATCCAGCTGCCAGCTCTGTGCACCCTAGGAAGCAGCAGGTGCTGGCTCCAGTCGCCATGTCCCTGTCCTCCATGTGGGAGACCAGGACTGAGTTTTGGGCTTCCGGCTTTAGTCCAAGTCCTGCTATTGTAGCTATCTGGAGAGTGAACCAGTGGAAGGAAGATCTTTCTCTGCTTCTTTCTGTTTCTGTGTGTGTATCTTTAAAATTAAACCATTTTTAAATCTCGAGAACATTTGTCACCTCTCTGCACCGGGTCCCCAAACCAGAGTCTTAAAACGACTACAAAAGAAATGTTTCCCTATTAAAAAAATTTTTTTTAATTTATTTGAGGGCCTGGCACAGTAGCCTAGCCAGCTCTCCCAGACCAACACAGCCTTACCTCCTTAGAAACTCTCCCAGCAAGGAATCTGCTACAGAGAACACGAAATCCATCAGAAGGAGCCGGTAGATTTCCTGGCCGATGAGGGTCTCCCAACACTGGAAGGCAGAGAGTCACCAGGTGGAAGGGGCTGTCATTCCAGCTCGATGCTCAGTTGTTTCTGGCTTCATGCAGGACTTGGCTGGGAGCTCAGTGCAACTGAGTCCCTGCACCCTCAAAGTAGATCCACATTCCCACAAAATGCAGTGAGCTTTGCTTTTAGGGCTGTTTACTTTTCATGTGCTCCTTCTATCACTAAGTCTTGCCTCCCACATGTACCCAGTTTCCCCTCTTGGAAGGTCTCACCTCTGGCTTTGCCCTCTGGATCCATTTCTCCAAGAGTGCTCGAGGCATCCTACGGAGAAGCTATGCTCAGAAGGCCTCCACTTTTGTTTTCTTATTTGAATGACATTATGAAGATCAGTTAATATCTCCTGGCTTAAGAAAGTTGTCTAGAGCTTTAGCCTCTAGGCTAGTGTAAATGAATAGTTTGAGTCAGTCAGTTCATGAAACTAAGGATGGCTAGATACTTCTGTAGGAAGTGTTATGAGCTGATTGGCCAGAAACTTTTAGATTTGGATAAAGGAGAGGGAAGTTTTAGGTGCACAGCCCAAAGATGGATGGATGGATGGATGGATGGATGGATGGATGGATGAACAGATAGAGAGATGGATGGATGGACAGACAGTTGCGGATAGGTTGTTGATAGATGGATGATGTAAAGGTGGGTGTGTCATGAATGGATGGATGAATGGGTGGGTGGGCAGCTTGTAGATGGATGGATAGATGGGGATAGCCTATAGACAGATGGATGTTATGGGTAGGTGGGTCATGAATGGATGGATGGATGGATGGATGGATGGATGGGTGGGTGGATGGATGGGCGGGTGGATGGGTGGATGGGTAGATAGGTGGGTGGGTAGATGGGTAGGCAGATGGTTTGATAATTACTGGCAGTTAGTGAGGGCATGTAGGGAGAAGGATGAGTGGATAAATGAACAGATGGATGGAATGGACACATGAGTGGAATGATATATGGTATCTATTCTAACCAGCCAAATTGGTTTGGAATCTTCAATAATTAAGGAGAGAAGGTGAAAGCACATGTTTTTGTAAGATGCTGGACTCTGCATGAAGCAATGTTCTTTTGATATCCAAAAACAAGAGAGAGGCTCCTGCTTCCCCAACTTCACCTGAAACCATGGGGCATTCCAGTGCCAGGGAGCTCAGGATGGGTACCAATCAAGGGGTACCCAGGCTACATGAAGGGCCCTTTCACAGAGGGCCCAGTAGCAAAAGTAGAGATCATCCCAACAAGGCCAGAGAGGTCAGCTTGTTGCTGAATCTTGGGGGAGACAGGGTCAGTCGCCCATTCTCTGAGACAAGAGCAGACAGACACTGTAGTTCTCTGAGACAGAGTAAGGGACAACCGAGGTTAGGGCACTCTTGTCAGGTGGTAAAGTCCAGCATTTCTGGGATTACAGAAAACACTCAATATCGAGACTTCAAAAGGACCTTGTCCCTAAAGGCCATAGCTGTTAGGATACAATAGCATCAGAATGATCACCCTGTATTGCAAGGCTCGGCACTGTGCTCCTCCTGCATATATACTGTTCCATCCTCACTTTATAGACCAGAAAATGGAGGCTTCAAGAGCACAGGTGACTGCAGATGACAGAGTTCGCCTTTAAGTCAGGGCTTCTTGACTCCAGGACCCAAGGTTTTACTGTGGAGACCCCTCCTGCCTCACGCTGCCTCCTTCCTTCAAGAGGTTAATGCCAAATGGGTGTTGGGGACTGATGGATTTGGTGAACCTTACTGTCTCCTGGTGATCAAACACCGAGCAACCAAACAGAGGGCAGATCAGGGAAATCTCACCTCCTCTCCAGACAGGGCCACGATGTTGAGCCAATAGTAACAAAGAATTCCAATGATGGACATTTTCAGGAAGATGTTTCTAAATAACACAAGAGAAAAGGGCTGTTGTAACTCCCACAGCCAGCCTTAAGGTTGTCTGGCACTGCCTCCGCTGGGGCGCCCAGCAGCATACACATCCCTGCCCTGTGCTAGGGTGGGGGATGTGGCTCCTACGGAGAAATGACAATGAGCAGCAGTCACACCTTGTGTCACCCTCCATCCGGTGCTGTCTTTGCTTGGGAAAGGCAATCAGGAATGTTTGGGGGCCACCGCCTTCTTACCCTGCATCCCTTAGAGACTGACAGAACTCTCCTGCTAACCCATACTGCCCCACATCACCTGGGCAACAGATAGACCTTGGTGCTCCCGGCTCCTGGGAGAAAAGGGTCATTTGCTACTGCAGAAGAACTAACCTAGTCTGGACCACACATTTCCTTTGGTTACACCTCCAAACCATCTGATTCACTTTCCATTATAGCAGCAAATTAATATAAAACTATACAATCAGGAAGGCAGCCAGGTGGAAAGAACAGCCAGTGCAGAGGCCTGGGGTGGGTATATTGTTAGAGGCATATTTGTAAACATTTAGGAGGCCACCGAAGGAGAGGAGTATCAGCAAGAAGGGAGGTAGAGAATGAGGTGGGAATGTGCGAGCCAGAGCTCAGAGGCCAAGGTAAAACAAGAGCTCTGGGACTGAGCAATCAATAAACCCAGCCAGCAGGGACCCATGGGTACCAGAACCACCATGGCCAGAAATCAGGGAGACAACAAGTCAGGAAGTAGAAGCACACCATTTGGGTAGTTTCAGGGTTAGTAGGTTTATCAGATCCCCAGGGTCACTTCTAGAATGTATGAAAATTCAGCGTCAAGGTTGTAGCAGGTTAAGTCACACCTACAATGCTGATATCCCTTTTTAGAGAGCTGGCTCTGAGTCCCAGCTTCTCTACTCCCAATCCAGCTCCCTGATAATGTGCCTGGGAAGATGATCCAAGTACCTGGGCCCTACCACCCATGTGGGAGACCCAGATGAAATCCGGGCTCCTGATGGTGGCCTAGGTCAATGCTGGCCATCACAGCCTTTTGGGGACTAGCAGATGTCAGATCTTTCTATGTCTCTCTGTGGCTTCACAGCTAAATATTAAAAAGAAAGAAAAAAAGAATGAATGAATGAATGAATATATATCTGGGACTGGGTGCAATGGCTCAATTGGCTCAATCCTCCATCTGCATGCACTGGGATCCCATATGTGTGTCAGTTCATGTCCTGGCTGCTCCACTCCCCATCCAGCTCCCTGTTTGTAATCTGGGAAAGAAGTATAGGCCCAAAGCCTTGGGACCCTGCACCTCCGTGGGAGACCCAGGAGAAGCTCCTGACTTCTGGCTTGGGATCGGCTCAGCTTTGGCCACATATAAACCAGCTGATGGAAGATCTTTCTGTCTCTCCCTCTTTCTGTAAAAAAAATCTACCTTTCCAAAAGAAAAATAAAAACCTTTTAAAAAATCTTTTAGAAAAGGAAAATAAAGAACATCTGTTGCCTTTGTGGGAACCACCAACAGGCACGCCTCCTGAGCTGATGCTTTTAAGCATCCAGTTATCCCTGTCTTGGGGGAAGGGCGGTGAACGACGTAAGTGCCCTCTTTCTCTTGGCTGGTGCCCCAGGTACCAGATCTTGCCATCTTGACCACTGGGAGCATTGGATGATATCAGTCCCCACATGGTCCTCAGGCAGAGCCTTTTGCAGTGCACTGCCTGCCCACTTGTGCCCATTACCCCTGAGGACACTGGTCACGCTCAGATGGCCAGTGGCTACCATGAGAGGTCATCACCCTTGACAGTGGCACTTCCCAGTGCTCTTTGGATCGCATGGCCATGAACCCTCCCCATGCAAATGCACTTTCCCCTTGAATCCCCTTCCTCAGCTAGCTCCACACAGTCAGAGGCCCGTATGGGTTGCAGCAGACACACGTACCGGATGAGGAGAGTGTAGACCTCATGCCGCGGCATCTCATAGCGCTCCACCAGCCTGAACATGGAGTAGAAGCGCGGCACCACCAGGTTGATGCAGGACACCACGAATGGCAGCAGCAGTACCGCCCAGGGGTTCCTGTGCGTCTTCAGGAACTGCAGGGGACACAGCACAGATGCCTGAGGTCGATCAGGTACTGCACCCTTCTCTGTGATGCCAAGACACCACAAGCAGCTCCTCTGGAGTGAACCATGAAGCTACCATTTATGGAGCACTGTGCCAAGCCAATGGGGGCTCAGAGAAGCAAAGACACAAACATGGATGTGGCAGATCGGCACCGAGGCGAAGGGAGTGTGCTGTACCGCTGTGTGAGGTCACAGCAGGTGCATCTCCTCCTGTGGTACTCAGCATCCTGATGTTGGGCTGTGCTTCTGTCAGGCATCCTTCCCCTGGTCTGGGGTAAGCGACTGCCATCTGGACTTCCCTGTCTCACATTCCTCCCCCGTCCCCCTCCAGGGTCCAAGCCTGCCTCTTGTATCCTTTGTGAGATCTAAAAATACCACTTGCACTTTGGGCAGGGGCTTTGGAGCCAGGGGAACCCCTTTCTCCTTACACTTTGACACAATAAGCTCTAAGGCCACACACTTTGTTCCTCTGAGCCTCCTGGAGGATGGGCAGATTACCAACCCACGGAGACCCTGCTCGAATTCCATACGGTCACAGAAGGCCCAGTCTGACCCTAGCATGCTAACTCACACAGCCAGGGTCTCATAAAGCTGTAGTGGCCTATGGATGACAACCACTAGAGTGTTGCAAAAAGCCCCGGATATTCCATTCCCACATGTTCTCCTCCTCAGATCCTCCCTCCACTCCAGCTGGGTGTGGGGAAAAGGCAGAGGACACAGAAGAAATTCAGAACGCTGTCTTCAAACCTGCACCTGCCTGGATATGTCTTGCATCCTGTGTAGGTAATGCCAGGCTCTGAGGGTGATGACTCAGTTTACCCATTTCAGGACAGATCTGATTATGGCTAATGGCAAACATTTAGATTAGATAATCCGACACCATGACAATGGCCGTGGTGGTAGGAGAGGCTTCTAGTGCCTTGATTTATCCATTAGACTGAGCATCTATATGTATCAGGTGTAAGGTCGGGTGCCTGGAAGAGCAAGATACAAAAGGAGGCACTTCAATGCCACTGCCACGTGGGACAAGTGCAAAGTCAGGAGCACCTCATCCATCTTGGTGAGGCTGGTGGTGATAACTAGAAAGGACCTCCTGGAGGAGGTGACACTCCTGATAAGATTTGGTGCAAGGGCAGATGAAGGGGAGTAGAGGGTGGAGAATGGACCACATATTCCCCACCTAGAGATGAGGAGCAGGACGCTGTTCTGAGACCCATGGGCATGTCAGTTAGCATTACTGGTGTTGGGTTGTAAAGCGTAACGAGGCTAGCAATGTGGTAGGGGTAGGATCATAAAAGATAGCTCTAGTGTGCTATGGAGGGTATATGAAATATGGACAGTGATGGAAACCACTGGAGAAAGTGACATAAAGAGACCTGTCTGTGACAACCTTGATACAATGGTCCACTCTGAGAGGCAGGAAAACAGCACTTTGTGCAGGCCACCCAGTTAAACCAGACTCGGAGTCCTCACCACCACAAACTTCTCTTTTACCATTCAGGGTGCCAGGCATGGCATTAGCCCTCCACATAATTTTTTCCAGCCCTGACCATACCCTTACACTGCCAAGTAAGACCATTCCCATTTTACAGATGGGAACTGCAGAGCTGTGTGAAGCACTTGCCGGAGTCCATGAGTCCCTAACATGACTCAGCACTGACTCTGAACAGGTGCTATGGGAAGCATGTGGGCTGGAAGGCAAGACATGAGAAATTGATCCAGGTCCATGGCTAAGGTTTGCACTTCTCCAGCCCAATGTGCTGCCCCGAGGAGTGCACAGGCAGTCACCCAAGGATCTTGTGGGAGAGGGAGATTCTGATCCCAGGGGCAGCGGGGGAGAGGCTGGCCCTTCTAACAAGCTTCTCACTGAGGCCCAGACCTCAAGCCAGGGTCCCTCTCACTCCAGCTCCACATTTCTGGAGCTGTTTCCTTGCTTACCTCTGAGTTGTACTCGGCCAGGTAGTAGACGGCCACGCAGCAGGCCACGGCCATGCCAGTGGAGACCACCCAGGCGACCACATGAGCAGAGAAGCGAGTCAGCTGCTGGTGAAACGTGAACCTGGCGTTCTCCTGTCGGATCTCAGACAGGTTCTCCTACAAGCACAGGGCATCAAGCTCAGCTGCAGCTCCCTGCCTCCCACACTGGTAGCCATGCTCCCCTGATGAACCCATACCGCACCCAGAGACACAAATCCAGTCTGGTCCACAGTGATGGATCTGGATAATAGGAGACCCTAGGGAGAATCCCCAAGCATCCCAGAACCCCTATTACCCACTTAGCTTCCTTTTCCAACTCAGAGGAACGCATGAGCCCATGGTCACCAAGTTCCTTCTGCAAGAAGCAGCTTGGCTGGGAACGACAGGGTAGTAAAGCAAGCTAATCCTCCACCTGCAGCAACAGCATCCTATGTGGGCACTGGTTCAACTGCTGCACTTCTGATCCAGCTCCATTCTACTGACCTGGGAAAGCAGTGGAGGATGGCCCAAGCCCTTGGATCCCTGCATCCACATGAGAGATCTGGAAGAGGCTCCTGACTCCCAGCTTTGGACCGGCCCAGATCTGGCCATGTGGCCATTTAGGAAGTGAACCAGCAGATAAAAGACCTCTCTCTCTGTCCCTCCATCTTTAAATAATTTTCATTTTCAAGTAGAAGAAATAAGATCTACAAAAAGCAGCAGCAGTAGCAGCCTGGTTATCCATACAGGGAAACAAGGTGAGCATGCCAGCTTTTTCGTGCAAGCTTTGTTATTCATACAGTCTACTTGCTCCTTCTATTAACTGAGTATGTTTGCACAGCGTCTGGCTTCTCCACCTCCCCACAGCTGGCACATGGGGCTCAGCAGTTTTGTGGAGCAGGGCTGTCCCACACATCCACTGGGATGCCAAACAGGATCTCTGGCTCCTACCCACCAGGTGGCTGCAATGCCATTTCCCCAAGGGTCACAATCAGAAATGGTCTCCAGACTCGGTCAAAAGTCTCTGAGAGGTCCATCATGACAGCTTAGCAGCTTAAGTCCTCACCTTGCATGTACCAGGATCTCATATGGATGCCGGTTCTAATCCCAGCAGCCCTGCTTCTCATCTAGCTCCCTGCTTGTGGCCTGGGAAAGCAGTTGAGTACAGCCCAAAGCCTTGGGACCCTGCACCCAAATGGGAGACCTAGAAGAAGCTCTGGGCTCCTGGTTTTGGATCAGATTGGCTCATCTCTGGCCATTGTGGTCACTTGGGGAGTGACTCAATGGATGGAAGATCTTCCTCTCTATCTCTCCTCCTCTCTGTATATCTGATTTTGCAATAAAAATAAACTGAAAATTTTTTAAAAGCCTGAGGCACAAGGTTGATCTGGGGTTGAAAACCACCACACCAGAACTGAATTTTCAACTCAGAATTTTGGGAACCAGGCACACATTTTGCTAGAAATTGCTGAGTTGGCTCTCAGGAAGTTGTGCTGCAATGTCTGGGGTTTGGCTTGTCTCTCAAAGTTTCACACACTGGAATTGCAGTCCCCAGAGTGTTGGCATTGAGGGGATACAATTGTTAAAGAGATGGACCCTAGTGGCCAGGCAAGCTCCACCCCATGGAGGGACAGATGCTGGACTCACAGAGCCAGTAGGTTTTTACAAGACATGGTCATTGTCCTTCGCACACCTCAATTTTTTTTTTAAAGATTTATTTAAAGACTCCTCAGTCTTGCTGTGACAAAGCCAGGGGCCAGGGGAGCCCTGCCTGGATACAAACATTATGTTGTTCGGCCTCTGCAGACTTACAAGCCACATCCACTCTTTCCTGCTAAAGCACCGGGCCTCCTACATTCTGTCGCAGCCACACAGACCATGACACATCCTCATCGCAAAGGCCCCAGGGGTCACGTGACGAGGCCCATTTCCCCTACAGCATCCCCAGGAATACCTGTCATAAGCATCATTCTCAGGGCAGTGATCAAACACCAGGAACTCCCAATTACTTTCAGGGAAGGTAGAGACGTCCCGGAGCAGCAAAGGGGAGCGGCCAGACAGAGGCAGGGGAGGCGAGGGCTCCTTACCCGGATCTCCGTGCTGAGATTCTTTTGCCTAAGCTTGACGGCCTTTTCGTGAGTGACGGTGAAGTCCCAGCAAAAGATGAGCTTTGCGATGCCTCTGGAGTAAATGTGAGGGTTGATGAAATTGTTCCGAAAATACTTGGCCATGCTGGAAAAGGTGGGAATCAAAAGACCACGGGTTATTGGGACAGACACTGGGGAGCGTGGGGATAAAGCACCATGCAGTCCTGTCAGTATCGGGCAAAGGTGACATGAAGGAGGCGGGGGGGCTCCAAGCTCTGCACCAGCTGGGAGATTCCATCCCTGGATTTGCCAACGGTGAGGTCTTTGTCCTGTTAACTCTTCTGGGCTTCTGTTTACATATCGGGGTAATGGGCATAACAAAGGTATCCACCTCATGGAGCTGTGAGTCATATCGGGTTCTTAAGACCACTGTAACAAATGACCACCAACATCATGGCCGGAAACAACACCCACTTTTTATCTCACCCTTATGGGGGTCAGAGGTTGGAAAGGGGGCCTCACAGGAAAGATCCAGCTTTCTGCAAATGCATATCCTGCAAGCTAGGCAGCAGGAGATGGTTCAGGTTCCTGGGTCCCTGCTCCCCATGAGGGTGACAACTTGGTCCAGCCCTGGCTGTTGTGGGCATTTGGGGAGTGAATCAGAGGACAGAAAATCTCTACCTCCTCTGCCTTTCATATTAAAAGTTTTTTTTTTCCAACATAAGTTACAAAGAGGTTACGCGGTTTGGTCCCAATGATGGATGTCTTGCTAAGGAGAGAAGAGAAAGAACAGGTGACAGACAACGGAAATGGCAATGGTTGGTGAGCCAAAGCCAGAGTCCTCGGAAGAACCCGCCCCTGCCAACACCTGGATCTGAGACTCCCATCTCCAGAGCTGTGAGCTGGCAAGTGTGCTGTGTGAGCTGTGCAGTGCATACATTTGCCACGCTGCTAGTCTGAGCTAGCAAATGAGCATGGAGGGCGGGCTTTTATTTCCATGTGGGTTTTTCATTCATATTTGCTTTCCGACGGACCGAGTTCTCTGAAAGCAAACCTCCCTTCCTCGCTCCCAAATGCCCACCTCGGGCAGCAGGGTGATAGGTCAGATAGCCATAGGAAGTGAAAGCTACAGAGAAGTAGTTCCCTGCGTTCCCTGGACATTGCTGGAATTAAAGAACAAATGAGTCTCAAAACTGGGACATCCAGGCATCCATACCTGAAGAGCAAGCTGAAGAAGCAGGTGATCAAACAGGCCCCGATGGTGAAGATGTAGGCCAGCGGCATGTTGTAGGAGACCCCGCCGTGCCCGTGCTGGATGGTGGAATTGGTATAATAGCCGTAGTACAGCACCGTGTCCTTAAAATAACCCTGACGGTGAGAAAGCAAGCCCTGGGTCAGGGGCAGTTCTTGAGCCTAAGATCAGCTGGGCTGATGTGTCTGCAAGAAGCGTGGGCCGGTGGGGTTAGACATTCAACTGGCCAAGAAAGGGGCGTTGCAGCCACCAGGGACACAGATGTTTTATTTTCAGGCTCACAGAGCCAGGAAGGAATCCCAATCCATCCATGTCACTTCCTGGTGGAGGGACCAGGGACAAACCAGAGCATCACTAGCTGCAGACCAGCACACTGCTATGTGGCTGTGTCACCTGTGACCCAGCAGGGCAACATGTTTACCAGGACACACATCACACCCTCAGATCTCTGTTTCAGTTTACAGTTTACAAATGAGAGCGCTCATGAGGAAGTGCTAAATCAGACAACGCCCCAGCGTCAAGAAGGAGCTGCCTAAGAGCAACTGGTCCAGTTTCCTATCTAAGCCAAGGTCAAGGGAAAGGGAGATCATCCTAGAGTAATAGAGACTGAATGTGGAAAATCAGATCCTGGTCTGAATACGCAAGCTGTGAAAGGCTTGGGGGAAAACAGAAAATTTGGATATAGCTGCATTTTAGATGACATTATTTTTATTTGTTTTATTAGAAGTGAGAACAATATTGTGATTGCAGGACAGTATTTAGAGAATATGATTTTTAAAAGAGATAGATTTAATTTTATTGGTAATAAAGATTTATGGAGAGAAGGAGATACAGAAAGATCATCCATCTGCTGATTCAATCCCCAAGTGGCCACAATTGTCAGAGCCGAGCCAATCTGAAGCCAGGAGTTTCTTCTGGGTCTCCCATAGAGGTGCAGAGTCCCAAAGTTTTGGGCCATCCTCTACTGGTTTCCCAGGCCACAAGCAGGGAGCTGGATCAAAAATGGAGGAGCTAGGACACAAACCAGCACCTATATGAGATGCTGGTGCCATAGGCAAAAGATTAACATGCTATGGGCCCGGCGCAGTGGCGCAAATGGTTAAGTCCTCGCCTTGCACGCCCGGGATCCCATATGGGCACCGGTTCTAATCCCGGCAGCCCTGCTTCCCTTCCAGCTCCCTGCCTGTGGCCTGGGAAAGCAGTCGAGAATGGCCCAAAGCTTTGGGAACCTGCACCCGTGTGGGAGACCCGGAAGAGGCTCCTGGCTTCGGATCGGCATAGTATCGGCCGTTGCGGCTCACTTGGGGAGTGAATCATCAGACGGAAGATCTTCCTCTCTGTCTCTCCTCTCTGTATATCCGCCTTTCCAATAAAAAAATAATAATAAAAACAAAAAGAAATTCCTTTAACTTTCATGTTTCACAAATGGTACCCTTCTTTGGTTTCTTCTTCAACCATTTCAATCTTAAAAAAAAAAAAAAATACTGGAACCTGAGCGATAGCCTAGTGGTGAGAGTCCTCAAATTGCATCTACTAGGATCCCATATGGGTGCTGGTTCGTGTCCCAGTGACTTTATGTCCCTTCCAACTCCCTGTTTGTGGCCTGGGAAAGCAGTAGAGGATGACCCAAAGCTATGGGACCCTGCGCTAATGTGTCTGGGAAAGCAGTGGCGGATGGCCTAAGTTCTTGGACCCCTGCATCCAATTGTGAGACCTGAACAGAGGCCTGGGCTCATGACTTCAGATTGTCCCAACCCTGGCCATTGAAGCCATTTGGGCCGTGAACTAACAAAAGATCTCTCTTTGTCTCTCTTCTCTAACTCTGCCTTTCAAATAAATAAATCTTTGTTTTAAGTCCAAGTTATATTGCAAAGCAAAAATTTGCAAAACAAGATTTATAACAATCCTACAATCTTTTCATTAAAAAAAAATTGGGTGCCAGCAGTGGTTCAACAGACTAATCCTCCTTTAAGGGCTGAGACCTCAAAGGAGTGCTGGTTCACATTCTGGCTGCACCACTTCCCATCCAGTTCCCTGCCTGTGGCCAAGGAAAGCAGTAGAGAATGGTCCAAAGCCTTGGGACCATAGGAGGCCCACAAGAAGGTCCTGGCTCCTGAGTTCAGATCAGCTCATTACCAGGTGTTGAGGCCATCTGGGGAGCAATAGTAGATGGAAGATCTTTCTCTCCATCTCTCCTTCTCTCATTAAATCAGCCTTTCTGATAAAAAGAAAACTTTTTAAAAAATACTGACCTATTATCTATGTATCAATCAACTATATATCTCTATTGATCTACTAACCCAATGATAGATCAATGCTTGTACAAGAAGAAAGAACAGTTTACAAAGAGATACCCCAAAATGAGGAGAGAAACCTGGGAAAAAAGAAACAGTGGGCTTTCTCTTAGTTCTCTTCACTAGTGGGGGTTTTTCAGAAACAGCATTGTATTATTTGCAAATTTGTTAAAAAGAAAGAAAACACAGATCTGTGGGGCACCAGCAGGAGAGGATGGTCACCACACACCGTTAGAAGGAAGGAGGAGAAACATGGACGACGTGTGGTCATTCGCCTTTTGTAAGAAGGAATGAAGGGATGTTGTATGTGTGATGAGATGTAGCTGCAGGTGCACAGAAGACAAACAACAGAACCTACCAACTGGTCACCTCTGGAGGCAGAGTGTTCTCGAGGCTGTGCTTATGTTACTTTGCAGGGAGGATATTTTAGATGTGCCTGCTCCCCATCAGCCAGCCTTTGGGTAAAATGATCGACCTGGGCAGGTGACCAGCACCAGGGCATGCCCCTAGCTTTCTGGAATGGTGGTCTCGGGTGGGGGACTCACCGCCCCCGTGAGGAATTCCAGCCCAGTGAACTGCAGGGTGTTCTTCTCAGCCACAGTGAACTGAGGGATTGTGAGGAAACTGAAGTTCAAGATGAAGGAGAAGATGTTGAACTTCAAGAGCCACCGCAGGAAGTTGAAATAGGATAGGACGCTCGTTCCGAATTTGCCTCCAATGACCTTGAGCGTCTTCTGCCACAAGCTGATGGAGTTGAGGAGCTCCGACAGGTTGCTCTTGGATCTCCGGTAACCCTGCAGTTGGGATGCAAAGCGGACGGTCTGATGGTCATTCAACAAACACTCTCAGAGTAGGTACCACAGGAACAAAATCGCCCACCAGTCCTGGAGCAGCATACTGTACAAGGCAGGCCAAGTGCACTTATGAAGGACATGTCACTGCATCCCCAGGGCCACACACCAGGTCAGCACTGTTACTACTGAAGAATGACTGAGCTGCTTGACTAATCCAGCAACTGCTTTCTCTCCTTCTCCCTTCCTTTCCACACACCTAAACTGACACAATGGCTTTGGGCCCTGAACTGTGGTTTTCCTTCAATACTCATTCCTCACCCTCCTCATTGTCATCCGCTTGCTGTACCCATTATATTGACCACAACAAAACTTAACTTACCAGAGAAAGGGAGTTCAGACATTGTGCACAGCAATTGAACTCAAGGACACGATTGGATTGCTTACTCTTCTCCTTGTCGACTGTTTTCCTGTGGGGAACAGCAGGAGAAAGTAAGAGCCAGCAAGACCAAAATTCCATCACTCAGAAAACAGCCACTGCATAACAACATGTACCCAAACCAACTTCCCTGAGGTGTGAAACCTCATCCTAGTTAGAAGAGAAAGACACAAGCATGACACACTCATAATGGAATGACCACATTGGGGAATATATTAGAAGACGGTTGGCACTTTAGGGAAGAAAATGGGTTTCCCCGAACCAGGTATGGAGATGGAACATGCTGGAAAATGTATCACTGTATTTAAAGTGATAGATTTAAAATGGTAGCTGAGCATCATTGTATATGAAAGTGAGGAGAGGGTCATTGTACGAATAAGGGAAGCCTGTTGCCAGGCATTGGCCAAAGCAAGGCCCCCAGTGGGTGGAGCAGAGCAGGAAGAAGGCCAGGATGGTCGGAGTGGAATGAGCAAAAGGAAAAGAGGGGGCCCAGGGCAATCAGGGGTCCCTGGAGGTCAGCAGTCCTCCAGCAGGGGACGAGCTCTCCTCCCAGAGGACCACTGGTAATGGCTGCAAACTCTGTTAGTTGTTAAACTGGTTGCTAAACAACATCCTACAAATGAATGCAACAGTATGAGCCAGGCCTCAAATGTCACCCGCCTGGAGGCTGAGAAATTGTGCTTTAGGCAACTATCCCAGGATGAATGGAGCCATGTCGAGTTTGAAATGGAAGAGCGTTTTGAGACACATACAGTCCCAGATGTGTCTTTACCCACCCTCACACCAAAAAAGTACATCCCGGCTTCCTGGGCCTCTCACAGCAACCTCCTCCTGTCTTCATTTGGCCTGATTTTCTTTCTGCCACTTGTAGGTTATTGGTTGACAAATCTATTTCACCAGGCACGCCTTGGGAAAAAAAATCCATCTTTTGCAATCTCAGAAAAACAGGAACTATCTGTTTGAACTATCTATTAGCAATTGCTAATCAAATCTACGTTTAAACTATTAGCAATTGCCATTGCCTTTACTCATCTCTGCCAACTACACCACAAATGACAGAAGGACAAAGATCATAGGACGAGCAATGGCGATCGCTAACACATGCCTCTCGTCTCTCGTGTTTTTGAATTCCTAGGCTTAGCCATCTGCTGAGGTCTTTGTGATGTGTTAAGTAAACTTCTGAGTAGTTTGAGATCAATGCTAAAGTTGCAAAGATGGTGCAGAGGGGCCCTTAGCCCTGTTGTACCTTGTCAACGTTGTCTGTTTCTTTTAAAGATTTATTTATTTTTATTGGAAAGGCAGATCAGATTTATGGAGAGAAGTAGACAGAGAGAAAAATCTTCCATTTACTGGTTCACACCCCAAGTGGCCACAACAGCTGGAGCTGAGCTGATCTGAAGCCAAGGAGCCAGGAGCTTTTTCTGGGTCTCCCACGCAGGTGCAGGGAGTCTGTCCCAGGTCACAAACAGGGAACTGGATGGGAAGTGGAGCAGCTGGGACATGAACTGACACCCATGGAATCCAGCACATATAAGGTGAGGATTTAGCCACCGAGCCATCACACCAGGCCTACATCGATCTAAATCTTCACATTCTGAGCTGAGGCGGGAGCAGAGGTATGGAATCTACAAGGAACCTAGGAAGGCAGAGAAACCTTGGACCCTACCTCAGGTTCCTCTTCTCATCCATGGTCCGTGGCTGGTTCCTAATGGTTTTAATTCTGTCTCTAGATGTCATGGGAATCAGAGATGCAATTAACTTTTGTCCTGCAGAAGAAAGTAAACAGGTTTATTATTTTTTTTTTAAACAGCATCATCACATTTTAAAATATAGTGCTGAAGTTAGAGAATGTTCTCCTAAAAGCACATTAAAAAAAAATAGGTCCAAATTCCAAAGATCACACTTGCTCCCCTCTCCCTGTACCCCGATTTAACCTAAGAGACAGGAATGTCCACAAAAACTTGAGTGATGTCGACAAGATCTTGTCTACTCGGCAGCTTCCTTTTCCTCTTTCATCTCGGTACCCCAATTCATTTTCTGAACTCCAGGCCCAAGAACCTTCCCTTCTTTGCCTGACCATTACTGGATGCTTTCGCCCTTCCCAACAGGTGTATTGTTCTTCCTCACACTGCTCCATTGACTCAGAGTCACATCTGTGTGTCAGGGTGGCAAAGACTGTGTGGGGCAGGCAGTTCCTAGTAAGCTGTCAGCCCCAGTTCTCCCTTGCAAGTGGCTAGATCAGTGGACACAATGCCAACCTGTGCTCTCAGAGGGGGTGATACACTGAGGTTCTTGGAGAAGGTTGACTGCATGTGATGGCTGGAGCTGCTGCCACCATCTCAGGTGGCAGAGGGTTAAAACAGTGGGATGGCACTGACTCCAGTACTTGGGTCCCAGCCGTGCACGAGGGAGATCTGGACTGAGTTCCATATTCCTGACGTTGGCCTTGGCCCAGCCCTTACCGTTGCAGTAATTTCAGGAGTAAGGCAGCAGAGCGGAGATCTTTGTGTGTCTATCTTTCTATTTATCTATCTACCTATCTATTCCTGTGTGTGTGCATACACTTACCTCTTTCAAGTAAATAAATAAAATTTTAAAGTGATGTGGCTAATGGGCTTGGGAATCAGGCAGAACCACATGTGGGTCCCAGCTCTCCCAGATGCCTGAATTCCCCTGAATCTCAACTTGCTCATGCCTCAAAGAGAAATGCCTGTCTCAAAGGTGTGGTGTTTGAGGTGTAAATAAAGCCAAAGTACCTGGTTCACATAAAAGGGATGCCAGTTGGACATCTGATGTAGTGGTTAGATGCTACCTAGGGCATCCACATGAGATTATCTGTATTCAAGTCCTGGCTCTGCTGTTGATCCCAGCTTTGTGACAGCAGGAGGTAGCAAGTCATGGCTCAAGTCCTCTGGGTCGCTGCCACCTACATGGGAATCCCATCCAGAGTCCGAGTCCTCCCGGGTTCAGCCTGGCCCAGTCCTGGCTGTTGCAAGCATTTGGGGAGTGAATCAGAAGTCAGGAGATCTGTATCCCTCTGTCCTTCTGTCTCACTGCCTTTCAAGTAGCAAAAAAACAAATTTAAAAATTATTTTCTAAACAACGTAGAGGCCCTATGGATAACTTGCAAAGCTTCCCGGCTCTCTTGCTATGTCCCATTCCCTGGTGTCCGTCTACCTTGAACGGTTTCATGGGAAGCACAAGGACCATCCAAGCCCAGGCATTCTGGGCCAGGCAGCATCTGAGACATGGATTCATGTGAACATGCTGAGACTCGCATTAAGTGCCGTCCCTTTCTGTCATTCCTGCTGCCGCACAGATGCGGGTCCAGCCCGTCGGCATCAGATGCTGAGGAAACCACGCTGAAGCTGGGCTTGACCGGGGCCCTTTCTGGGGAAATCTGATTTGTGGATGAATGGCTCTGGACCCCAGTGGGAACATTTTCCACCTCTACAGCAATGTCATTCACTTGGTCATCCGATAGCATCGCTCCCTCGTTCACCGTGGCGGGGATCCCCAGACCTCACAACTGGGTCACATCAGCTTTGTGGCTACTTGCCCCGGAGAAAGCAACGACAATCGCAAAGGGATGCACCATTCACATTTGGTTATCGGTCAAGGTGAGCCTGCCTGGGCCTGCCCCAGCCAAACCACAACATAGTGCCTGCCTGTCTCAACAAGGAGGTATGTTTCCCTGCAGAGAATTCTGTCTTGGTAGCTAGGTAAGAAATTGGCGACGGAACCCTTCATTACAGACAAGAGAATTCTAGAAACAGAAGACGGAGCTTCCCTTACAGGACTCAGAACCCAGGGGCAAGGTTTTAAGTGACCGTCTCTGGCCTAGAACTTGGCAGACATAACTTCAAGTGTGCCCAGACACCTAGGTGGGTCGCTCGTGTTACAATGATTATCCTTGCAACACACATCTCCCTTTGTACTCAGATCAGCAGATGCTCCATTGCCAGTTTGAACACACAACTCATTCTCGATTCTCCCAGCTTCCTTTGCAGCTAAAGGTGATCTTGTGATGTGGTTTTAGCCAATGAGACACATGGTTTTCAGAAATACTCTTTAAATAAGGGAGCCAGTCTGCCTGGGTCCACCTTTCACTCTTTTCCATTCACCTGTGTGCCTGGAGGCAGCCTTTTGAAATAAAGATGAATATTCACCTGCCAAAGATGGCAGAGAAAGAAGCTAGAGAGGTCTAGGCACTTGGTATTTTGTCCTCTGAGTGCCTACATCCCATACTGGAGTACATGGTTCAAGGCCCAGTTCCACTTCTGATCTACTTTCTTGCTAATGCACAACTCAGAAGGCAGGCGCCGATTCCAGTCCCTTGCTTCCCTGCCACTCATGTGGGAGCGAGCCAGGTGCAGTCCCTGGATCCTGGGTTCAACCTGATCGAGCCCTAATTATTGTGGGCATTTGGAGAGTAAACCAAAGGGGAAGGTTTTTCTCTCTGTTTCTCACTCTCAAAGTTAAAAATTTTTAAATGTTTTAAATGATAAGTACAAAGAAGCTAGGGAAGGATCTTCAGTCCCTCAGTGCTTGGTGGCCAGCACTGCCGTATCACCTACAGACCTCCACCCTCCTTATTACGAGAGAAAAACCATTCCGCTTCACTACCAAGACTCTGTTCTGTTTCAATGCCAGACACTTGAACACAATTTGCTCCTAGAAGCTGCCTAGGACAAGGTGTTTGTTTAATAGTTTGGGAAATAAAGGTGCAGAGAGACGAACTGACCTTCTCTCCACCCGCTCCCTGGCCATCACAGTGTCACAGAAAGGCAAGATTGGACTAAAACTCAAACATTCTCTCCCCCAAAAATGACAATCAACAGAAACAACCCCCATTCTTACTGTGCGGGAAGTACTTCAAGTAGAGAATATCCTTTATTTTCATCATCACTCTGTAAAGTATATATGTGTCTCAGCCCCATTTTAGAGCTAAGAAAACAGGCTCAGTGAAGGAATTATTCTAAGAAAATGAAACCATCAAGAATAGAACTTGGGGGGTGGTTGGGATTAGAGCCAAGTAGGTCTGAACCCCAAAGCAGGAGCTCAAAATCATCTCACCCTGGTGCTCGCCCCCATTTTAACAGGAGGCTGATGTATCATTCATTTATGAATGAATGAATGCCCATTGAGATCAGGCGCGTTCAGGGTGGTATGGCCGTAGACGCCACACTGAATGCCCATTGAGTATCTACTGTGTTCCAGGAATCCCCTGGGCTGTAAGTGAATCCACCAAAGCCATGCCTTCCCATGCAGCTAGCTTTTCAGCCATTAACTGCCTGAGATTTGAAAATGAGAACCTAGTAAGGCGAAGTGAAAAAGCCAGTTTCCTTATGGGGGTCTCTATTTCTTCCCTCTCTTTCTGGGAGACTCCTGGGCCACCAGGGTCCCCAAACTTGGTAAGGCCAAAAAGGGCAGTTTAGGGAGGGACCCATCAAGCCTTTTCCTTTCCCCACATCCCTGAAATCATTGTCTGTTCCAGCAAGGACCCAAAGGAAAACAGAATCATATGTTGCCTTGTGGTCTTCCCTCCTAGTAGCAAGGTTAAACTCATGTGAAAGATGCACACATCTGCCAGGAAAGCACTTGACAGATAACACGATGGCTATCCAACGGGCCGCTGGGCTGGAAGGTGAGAGGCATTTGTTGTTAATATGGATGACTTCCTTATTGTCTGCAGACTTGTTTTCTGTTTCCAGCACACCCTAACCTCTCTTCTCTGTTGCCTTTTGGTTCTCAGCCTCTGCCTCTGACCAGATCTCCATCACTGCACATAGCGATCCTTAGCAAGCTTTCTGAGCCTGCTGGCTTTCACCAAAGGCACCGTTCACAGCCTGCCCTCATAGTAACTGCCTGAGTATTCACAAAAGTGGTGATGAACACACTTCAAGTTCGCCAACACAGACATGAATTAACTCCAAGATGGACAGGCTACTCAATCCTGTCTCCTGTGGCAAAAATGACCAACCTGAGTACAGGCACGCACTGCAAATACACTGGGCAGCACCTTCTCTCGCCCTGAAGGGCAGGCCAAGCAGAAAGGTGAGCTCATCGAAAGAGGCACCTAAGCTGAAGTGTAGACTCTATATAGGGAGACAAAGGTCAGCTTTAAAGAGAAGCTGAGTCAAGCACAATGGGTGCAAAACCCTAGTGCCTAGGTGATCCCTAGGCCCTGGCGTTAGAACCAGGCCCTGGATAGACTCAGAAGCCCTGATTTCTGTAATGCATTCAATAGATTAACTCATCCAGTAGCTCTGAATTATCTACTCCGGACTAGCCACTGGAGAGTATTTCTACTTCCAATTTCCTATGTTTTCCCCATCTCCTTCAGTTACAGTTTGGAACTGGTTTGAGTGTCCCCCAAAGGTTCAAGTGCTGGAAGTTTGGCTCTCGGGATGCTAATGTCAAGAGGTGGTGGAACCTTTAAGAAGAGGGGCTTTGTCATTGAGGATGCCACACTCAGAGGGATTAATGTAGTTCTGTCTGAACCCTGGTTATTTCCTGAAAGAATGAGTTGTTAAGAAAAAAATATATATAAGTTTGGTGTAGGTGTTGTGCAGTGGATTAATCTGCTGCTGGAATTGCCCATATCCGTATCAGCATGCCTGGTTGGTCCCAGCCTCTCCAAGCTTCCAATTCAGCTTCCAGGTAATGCACTTGGGAAGCAGAACTGATGATCCAAGTACTTGTGCTTCTGCCACACACAAGATATCAAGTTAGAGTTCTTGGCTCCTGGCTTCTGCATGGCTCAGTCCGAGCTGTTGTAGGCATTTGGGAAGTGAACCAGCAGACAGAAGATCAATAAATCAATCAGTCAGTCAATCGATTGATCAATCTCTCCTTCCCTCCGTTCTTTCTTCCCTCCCCCTCTCCCTTTCCATTTCCACTTCTGTCTCTCTGAAATACAGGATGACAGAGACAAGAGAGACAAAAGGAGAAAGAGATTCTTCCAGCCAGTGGTTCACTCCCAAATAACTGCAATGATCAGAGCTGGAACAGACCAAAGCAAGAAGCTTGTAATTCCACTCCCACATGCAGGGCAAGCATGCAATCACTTCTACTACTTTCCCAGGCACATTAGCAGAGAGCTGGATCACAAGTGGAGCAGTGGGGACTGGAATCATTATTCAGCTACGTGATGCCAGGGTCAGCGTTGCTAGCGGCAGGGAGCTTAGGCAGCTGTGCTACCATGCAGGCCTTAAATAGACAAACCCTAAAATAACTCAAGCCTGTTTCTCAACTCACCAGGTGACTGCTCTCTTCCTATCTCATAAGCTCCCATCGTGAGATCATCTACCTCCTTGTGATATAGCCAAAAGACCCTCAGACACAGGCTGAACTGAAGGGGCCACCCACTCTTGGACTTTGAGCCTCCCAAAATAGCAGTTAAAGAAACGTTTCTTTATAAAAATACCCAGCCTCAGATATTTTGTAATTGCCACAGAAAACAGACTAGGAGAACTTTTCACCTTTGAGACCATAAGTTTTCTTGGGTCAATGCCCATTTGAATAAAGATTCTATCATTCGCAATGAGAAAATTGCTAACGAAGTCACTTCAGTACCCCTAAAAGAATTAACTGTATATCTCAAAGCAAACCTCTTTATGAAAAACCAATTTAGTATCAACTGTATCCACTGCCACATCAGAAGCCAACATGGAGTGAAACACTGGACAGAAGATCTTCCTCTCTGTCTCTCCTCCTCTCTGTATATCTGACTTTGCAATACAAATAAATCTTAAATTTAAAAAAAACCTGCAAAGTTTGCATTGCCTTGGACAGGTGCCTTCTCCATAGTGACTCTAGGGTCCTCGTCCCCTAGGACTCACCTTGGGGTGACTTGCACCAGTCAGATCCAGTCAGCGGTGGGTTTCCATAAGCACAGAGGGGGCTACCTTCACCCACAAAAGCAGTATTCACTGGAAGAAAAGGAAAGGACACATGGCAAATAAAGCCCACCATACGAGATATGACCAACCACATTATAATTACCATGTGTCAATAATGCTTAGTAATGGTTCACAAGAAAATGATACCTTCTCTTCGAGATTCTTACAAATGATTAAGATCTTAGGTGGAAAAAATGCTTCTACAAATAATCAGCCAGGATCCATGATTTTTATTTGTCCACAGGCCACAGGTGAAAACTCTTACACCGAGGCCCAGGACACACTTCTACATGCATAACTGAAAACCAAGTTTCACAAAATAATGCTTTGTCTGACTCTGTAAACTTCTCTCTGACATAGTCTTTCTCTATTACATTACTTTCTATTTAATTTATTTAATGTTATTAATCGTTAAATCTATTACATTTTAAACTTTCATTTTGTAGCTTGTCATTGAGTTGCAACTCAGAGTTTGAAATGTGCTTGTGCATGTGAGTTCAAAGGTTCCCTTTAGCTCTAAGTATTTTATGATGGCCCCAGGATAAATTTGAAATATGGTATAATTTCCTTGGAGACAGAGTTCATTCTCATTTTCCACAGGACACAGTCATATACTAATACATTTTAATTCATGTTAATAATATAATCCATGTTAAACATTAAACCACAAACTTGAGAAAAAATGGAGCACACTTTGATGGGGACAGTGCTTTGTTGATGTGCCAAATGCAGATATAAGCCACCGGTACCAATAACCTGGAGGGCACTGTGTGGCTAAGCTGGGTGCAATTGTATTTCTCACCTACAATCTGCAAATGATGTCGGGAATAGCCAGATGGAGCTAACCTATGTATCCCACACACCCCGTCTCCCCCTTGCCTTCTTCAAATTCTTCTTGATCAAGGTGGATCAATTCTCCATCTACATCTGTTCTTAATGGCACCCTTCCTCCCTTCTCTGACCCCCATAGACTCTACATTTCCCTAACATAGCCAGGATTTGTTTTTCTCCTATGTAATGAACTGGCTTCCCTGACATGACAAGGAAGGGCAAGAAAGGTAAGAGCTGGGTTGAATTTCCTTTGCCTCCCATAGCGGAGTCACTTACCTTTACTCACAATGCATTTAGGCCCCTTCTGCATGAGGCCCACTTACTATCCTGTTTCTCTGCTATGTTGAGCCTAGGGGGGGCCCGCACCAGAAGTTAAACAAACAAGGTCATCTGATCTTGGACTGGCACCCTGAAAACTGTGCGCTAACAAAATCTTCTTTTTCTATAAAGTGCCCGGATTCGGCTACTTAACTATAGCAACAAAAAAATATGGATTAATATATAGAGGATGTCACATTTTACATGTCTAACTTTGGGGCTGGTGGTGCAGTATATTCATGGTAAGTCATGACTATATCCAATATGATGGCTGGTTCAATCTTGGCTGTTCAACTTCCAATATAGCTCCCTGCTGATGTGCCTGGGGAAAACAGTAGAAGATAATGCAAGTCCCTGGGCCCCTGTCACCCATGCAGGAAACTCAGGAGTTCTAGATTCAGCCTGACTCAGCCTCAAATACTGCAGCCATCTGCACATTTGCAAAATGAACCAGCAGACAGAAGTGTGTGCGCTCTCTAACTCTGACTTTCAAATAAGTCTTCCTTTAAAAACATCTGACTTAATTTGGAAACACAGGATCTCATCTCCTTGAAGCCATACTTCCACGGAACCAAGGTGGACCAGCCATCTCAGCTATACACAGGTGCAGACCTTGATTTTCCATAACCCTGGCCTTCTCTGATACCTGATGACACTTGATTTCTCTAGACACTGAGTTCTCAACTTTTGTATCTAATGAGGTGCTTGAGGGGAGAACAGACCCATTCTTCTATTTTATGATGCCTTAACAATGACACACCTGCATCTACTGGATTTTAATTCCCCCCAACCCAGGATATGATCCCATTCTTGACAAATGCTTTACCATAGCCACTTCCAGGAGCACCCAGTAGGAGGCCATCCAGACTTGCCGTTCCCACAGCTACCATTTCAACAGTGTCAGGATAATCTTCATGGTTTCCACCAACCATGCCCAAGGGGCCATTACCACTGCAATGAAAAGAGGGCTGAATTGAAGATGTTCTGATGAGCACCTCAACTTCCCAAAAGGATAGATCACTACCCACCCACTAATGTGATGAGAGTCCATTCATCCATCATTCATATATTGATTTCTTCCATCCATTTATGTATATTCATTCACCCATTCATCTGTCTATTCATCCATTCATTCACCCTTCTATTCCTCCATCAGACAGCCATCCATTTGCTTATCTTTTCATCCCACAAATGCTGACATTCAGTCAGCTATGGGTTATGTCTGGGTTAGTGATGACAATACAAGGGCATCTTCCTTGCAGGAATGCCTGATGACACAATCTTGCACAGCATCTTAGACACAGCTGTGAGCGGTTAGAAGTAGAAACTGATGAGGATCAGAAGACAGGCTCAAGTTCAGAGGAAGGAGAGAAGATTTTATTTTGGGGAAAATCTACATGGAAAATAAATATTTGGAAATTTGAAGGATAAATCCGCATCCCAAGGATGAACAATAGCACCAAAAAAGGACAGAAAATACAGAAAAGAGAAAGAGAATGCTATGAAATCCAATTAATTTTTTCCTCAATTTCTTTTAAAATTTATTTATTCTTCTCAGAAAGTGAGATTTACAGAGAAGGACATACAGAGAGAAGAATCTTGCATCTGCTGATTCACTCCCCAAGTGGCCACAATGGCCACAGTTGAGCCAATCCAAAGCCAGGAGCTTTCTTGAGGTCTCCCATGTGGGTGCAGGGCCCCAAGGCTTTGGGCTGTCCTCCACTACTTTCCCAGGCCACAAGCAGGGAGCTGGATGGGAAATGGAGAAGTGGAGCAGCCAGGATATGAACCAGCATCCATATGGGATCCTGCCACATGCAAGGTGAGGACTTTAGCCACTAGGGTACCACACCAGGCCCAATTCCCCATTGGGGAATGAACCATCACATGGAAGGTCTCTGTCTCTTCTCTAACTCTGCCTTTCCAATAAAAATAAATACTTTTTTTAGTGCAGATGATAATAAATCAAATCTGCAGTAATGTTTATATAAAAAGTAATCAGTTGTGGTGACAATTTTTGAAAGGCAGATTTACAAAGAGAAGGAGAGACAAAGATCTTCCTTCCACTGGTCACTCCCCAAATGGCCACAACGGACAGACTTGATCAGATCCGAAGCCAGGATCCAGGAACTTCTTTCAGGTTTCCACATGGATGCAGGGGCCCAAGGGTTAGAGCTGTCCTCTGCTGCTTTTCCAGGCTACCAGCCGGGAGCTGGATCAGAAATGGAACAGCTGGGACTATAGCAGGTGCCCATATATGTGGGATAACAGCACTTCAGGCAGAGTATTAGCTTGCTGAGCCACCACACTGGCCCCTGAACCCAAATCTTATATCCTTGTTCCCAGAGATATTTTCAAGCCACCATGTTTATAAAATCATAAATATTACTCTTAGAAACAATAAATGGGGGCCTGGTGACTAAATCCTCACCTCGCATGTGCCAGAATCCCATATGGGTGCCAATTTGTGTCCTACCTGCTTCACTTCCCATCCAGATCCCTGCTTACGACCTGGGAAAACAGTAGAGGATGGACCAAAGCCTTGAGGTCCTGCACCTGTATGGGAGATCTGGAAGAAGCTCCTGGTTCCTGGCTACAGATTCTGCTCAGCTCTGGTCACTGCAGCCACTTGGGGAGTGAACCAGGCAATGGAAGATCTTTCTGTCTCTTTCTTTCTGTAAATCTGTCTTTCCAATTTAAAAAAAAAAGGTAAATGCAAAATAAGGCTTGTAATGGTTAAAACTTCAAGTGGTGGAGGCAGACATTTGATAGCAGTCAAAGCACCAAGTAGAATACCCACACTCATATTAGATCACTTAGCTTTGAGTCCTGGCTCTGCTCCCAACTCTAGTTCCTGCTAATCTGTATCCTGGAAAGCAGCCATGAGAGTTCAAGCACTTGGCTATCTGCAAGCCACATAGGAGACCCAAACTGAGTTCCTGCTTCCTGACTTCACCCTGGGCATTTATATAGAGGGGAGTGATCAGCAGATGGAAGAGCTCTTTAAATCCATCTCTGTGTCTGTGCACTTCAAATAAAATGAAAATAAATAAAATTTTAAGTGGTCTCAAAGGAATATCAACGCTAGCCAAAAGATAATGAACATAATTAGATGAAAACAAAAAATGCAGAATCAAAGTCAGTGTGGCGACATAGCAAGTTAAGCCTCTACCTGTGGCACCAGCATCCCATACGGGTACCAGTTTGTGTCCCAGCTGCTGCTTTTCTAATCCAGCTGCCTGTTAAAAGCCTGGGAAAGCAATGGAGTTTGGCTCAGCTCCTTGGGCCCAGGCTCCTGGCTTCACATCTGCCCATTTGGGCAATGAAGCAGCAGATGGAAGGTCTCTCTTCATCTCTGCTCTTTTCTCTGTAACTCTGCCTTTCCAATAAAAATTTAAAAATATATATAAGTACAGAATATCAATGAATCAAAATTGTAGTAATGTTTATATGAAAAATAATCAGTTGTGGTGACAAATTAATTTTGGAAAAATAAAACACGAAAGTACAAACTGAGGAATTAAACTGATTTCAAGGAGTTAGATCTTAAAAAAATTCTTGATAGAATTCATGACTTGGATGTAATTCTGTTTGGGATGTTTGCATTCATGACGGTCAAATCTTCACTCAATGTCATTGGCAATCCAGCAGCTTCAGCATCATGTAGATTTTACAGGAAGTGGATGAGGAAGAGACAGGAAAGTGGGGAGGGGGTCCAAGCAAGAGAGGATGGAAGACAAGGCTTAGCTAAGGGCTTGAAGCCTGAGGCTGAGTCCATGGCCCAGGTGAGCCATGGATACCACAGTTTGACCACACCTGCTGGATATGGAAGTCATCATGTGTCCCTAACAAAAACCATACCAATCAAATTCTATTGATTTGATGATGACACAGTCCAAACTGATGAGATGCCTGAACGTACCGTCTGCTTGCTTCCAGGCTTTCAGAAGTGCCATAATGATGACCATCTTCAGCACCTGGGTAATCAGGGTTTCCCCAAAAGTCTGGAGAGTTCTGGAAATTCTCAGCACCATGAGAGTCTGGTTCCCCGAAGAAGTGTGAAGAACGGGGTTCAGTCTCAGCCCCTGGATAATCAGGTTGTCCCAGAAGCGATTCTGTATACGGGCTGACTCTGGAATGAGCATAGTGTAAATTCCTTCTGGAGCCTGGAAGGTTGGAACTGGCTCTGGGGCCCGGAGAGCTGAAGGTGCCCTGGGCCCCAGGGTAGTCTGGTTCTCCCAGGGAGTCAAGGTAATCTGGGCTTGTTCTAGAGCCTTTGTAGTTTCCACTGTTTCTGGAACCTGTGAAATTGGGATTTCGCTGAGCTCCACCATATCCTGACCGTTGAGGCGAGTCTGGGTGGTACGGACTGTTCTCAGAGGCAATGTAATCAGGCTCAGGCAGAGCTCTAGGATACTCTGGACTTGCTCTGGAACCTGCAGAGAAGGAAGTATTCCTGGAACTGGGATAATCTAAAATATTCGGAGGATCTTGAAAACCTGGAGAATCCTGAGTGTTTGAAAGCCCCCTCCTGTGGTTCTGAGAGCCTGCGTAGGGAGGGTAACCTGAATCCTCCTCATAGCTTCTATTCCTGTAGTAGGCAGACATGTTGGAGCAGATTCTTTATCTGTCTTGGAGTATTAAAATATTCCCACATTTGCAGTTATTCAGAGGTCTTTACATTTAACCTGAAAATACAAAAAAAGAAAAGTCAGGTTTTTCTTTTCTGCAGACATTGCTGGTTGTCTTCCAGGATCTGTTCTTCTCTCTCCCATCATTGTATCCAGAGCCGCCCAGACTGAACTATAATTTCCCAGCCTCCCTTGCACCCAGTACTGGTTCTAAGAGTGGTCACTACAATGCAGGAGAGGCAATAGACTTCCAGGCTGTGCTGTTCACAGAAAAGAGTTTGCCCTCCCTTTCTCAGTCTCCCTACTTCCCATTGGCTGGATTGGGGAACCAATGGTGCTCCATTTCATGCTATACATAACCCCTTCCCCACACAGGGTTGGTGTTAAAACAGATAGAAGGAACCTGGGTTCCTGATAACTTTCCAGAGTTCCCTGCTAATGGCCTGGGAAAGGAGAGGAGGATGGCCCAAGGCCGTGATCCTCTGCACCCAACGTGGGAGACCTAGAAGAAGCTCCTGATTCCCAGCTTTGGACTAGCTCAGCTCTGGCTGTTATAGCCGCTTAAAGAGTGAACCAGCAAAAGGAAGCTCTCTCATGTCAACCCAGACTATTATGGAGGAGAGATATAATCCCATTCTCCTTAAACCACTGTTTTTTTTACTGGAAAGAACAAGGCCCTTTTGTAAATGTTGATGACACTACAGTTCTAGGGCTCAGAGGGTAAAGTAGAATGAGTGGGAAAAGTTCATGCAAATAAAGCAAGGAGAAAATTGCTCCAACCCCTTCTAGCTTGAAAACACAACTTCATGAGTTCTGTGAGGTCTACAATACAGATTTGGTGACTTTCAAATCAGAAGCGATGTGGTTTTGCTATCTATGCTTCCTGGATATCTTGTGGTGACTCGTTTATTACTCATTTCCCCTTTTGTTATTGATGCTCTGGTTTTCCTTTGGCCATCTTCTCTGACCTCACTCATAGTCCCAATGATACAGACAGGGCTAACCAACTCTAGGATGGCCATGTGGCCCAGGCCTGGTCATTCAATGTCCAGAATCCCCATGGCCATGGGGTCTGGCTCAGGGATGAGCACAAAACCCAAGTCTGTCTTCAAGAACTGAAATGAGGTTTCTGCCATTTAACTAGGACTGCTAAGAGTTGGACCTGCTATGGTGGCCTCAGTGGGAATAGAGAAAAAGTTAATCAGCCAGAGAGAAAAGTTCAAGGAAGACTGAATGGGGTTTATTTACTGATCTAACACGGGAGGGGTGGAAAGTAAGGATTGCAAAAGGCAAACACAGCTCCACTGTCTCAAGCAGCAGGATTGGCTGAATGGTGGCGGGTTTGACAGACGGAAGTAGAACATTTTCAAGCTCCAGCTGGCCTTTGCAAATTTATCTCTGTGTCAACAGGGCTCAACTTTTTGAGTCATCAAGCTGAAGACAATATTAACTTTCTATCAGAATGCTCATTGCCCAACTCAGTTCTATATTTTTCAGCACAGCGGAAGTCTGTTTTCTTTATTCTGACCTTGGCCAGCACCCATTTATTTATTTATTTTTAATAAAGACACTTTTTGTATTACCTCCCCTTTGGTTTGTATGGGCAAGGTGTGATTTACAATCCAATCAGAATTGTGTCCCTTTTCTGGCTACTGGGATTGGATCACACAACCCAGTCAAAGCCAGTAACAGTCAATTCTGAGTGTTTCATCAGAATCATAGGAAAGAGGGAAGCTTTGTCTCTGCAGGACTTGTCATTACAAAGCTTATGCCCAAAGCTGCCAATGATCACCAATGCCTACAACTAATGCCATCAGAGAGGAAAACACAGCCAAGATACCTCATCAAAGCACCTGACTCAGCTGTGCCTGAAACCAGAAATCACTAGGTATTCGAACAATCATATTCTCTTTTTCATTTCAGCTAGTTTGAATTGAGTTTCTGTCCTTAACAGATTGTAGAGAATTCTAGTACTTGGAGTTACATCAACCAGAACATCTGTACAAATGGACACTACTCACTGGGGCCAGCACCCTGGTGTAGCACATTAAACCTCTACCTCTGGTGCTAGCATCCCATATGAGCGTTGGCTTGAGTTCTGGTGGATCTACTTCTGATCCAGCTTCCTGGGAAGGAAGTAGGGGGGTGACCCAAGGCCCTTGTCCCCTGCACCCACATGAGAGACCCAAAAGAGGCTCCTGGATCCCAGTTTCAAACCAGCCCAACTCTGGCTATAATAGCCATTTAGAAAGGAATCAGCACACAGAGAATTTCTCTCTCTCTTTCTCCTCTCCTCCTCTCGCCTAGGTTCTGCCTTTTAAATACATGTTTATATTTTAAAAAGAAAACTAAACATTATGATTTATTGCAAGTTATTTTTTAGAATATAGAAATTTAGCCCATTCATTCACTTGTATTCTAGAAATTAATATGTTTATGTTCTAGAAACTTTCATGGTTTACCAAAACCCAACCTATAGTACCTAATAAACTATGTTATACCAGGTAACTTCAAAAAAGTAAAAACAGATACAGCTGCCATAGCCCAAGACAAATGAGTTTACCTACCAAACAGCAACACAATGGAGGCTGTAGAGCCAGGGGGCCCGACAGCATGTCTGAAGCAGAGCTGGGTCAAGGAGGGAGTAGGGGACCATAGTCAGAGGTGGTGGTGAGAAGGAAGAGGGGGCCATGGCAGATTATATCAGTGGCACCCGAGCAGGGGCTAAGTCCTTGCCTTGCATGTGCCAGAATCCCATATGGGCACTGGTTTGTGCTCTGGCTGTTCGACTACCCATCCAGCTCTTTGCTTGTGGCCTGGGAAAGCAAGTCACTCAACCCTTCAGAGTCCGTTCTTTCCCTCCAGTGATAGTGACAATATGAGTAATATCTGGCAACACCACAGAGGGTTGTTGCAAGGAACAAGTAGATAAGGTGCACATAGCATCACTGAGAAAGTGCACACTGAGTGAAAGCCATAACTTACCACTGCTTTTCTCCATGGAACATATAAACCCCAGCAACTTCCAAAAGAGATGGGAGCCAATAGACAGTAAGGATCACATGCTCCACCAGAACATGATTAAAGGAACCAGAAATGACTCATAATCAGGTAGAGGAAGGAGTAATCTTACTAAATTCCTAGACTGACAAAGCAACTGTAACCAAGAACCAAGTATCATCGTGAGCTTCTGCTTGGTCCAGTTTAAAGGAAATCATACCAGGTTATCTAACCCAAGCTGAGAAGAAGTACCGTTTTACAAAGACAAAAAGGTGTCAGAGAGGGGCAAATCAAGACTGTAAGGTGAGGCCTGGTGTGAGGCTCAGTGACTAAATCTTCAAATTCCACATGCCAGGATCCCATATGGACGCCGGTTCGAGTCCCAGCTGCTCAACTTCCCATTCAGCTCCCTGCTTGTGGTCTGGGAAAACAGTCAAGGATGACCCAAAGCCTTGGGAATCCAGCACCCATGTGGGAGACCTGGAAGAAGCTCCTGGCTCCTGGCTTCAGATTGACTCAGCTCTGCCCATTATGGCCACTTAGGGAGTGAACCAACAGATGTAAGATCTTTCTCTTTGCATTTCCTCTCTGTAAATCTGCCTTTCCAATAAAAATAAATATCTTTAAAAAAAAAACAGACTGGAAAGTGGACACCTAATGACTTCCCATCAAAACCCCCACAGAATTATCTTCATCGGATGAGAGCAACGAATGGAAGCAATGTCATCATGAAGAATGACGCTCAGAGCCATCCTTTCTTGACATTTTTCTGCTAACGTCTGGGTAAATTTCTCAAGTGAGCAGATGCTATCATCCTTTGGCCTTCCAGGAACTCCACAAGCAAGATGCCTCAGGCATCCTCCAAAAACTGCTATCTCAGCCTTGGCTTTTGGTTGGCCGGTGTTTGTCTTGCATGGACCATTGCCACTTCCTTGCAGCCAAAGCTACCATTCTGATTGTGTTTTGTCTTCAGGACCACACTCATTATGCCACATTTCATCCTGTTACAACTCTCCAAAGAAATGCTTCAAAACCTTGGTCCTACTTCTCTAAAACGTTGATCTATTTTTTTTCTATCCACCTGCATGAAAGAGTGCGAGGTAAAGAGAGAGAGCAGTTGATCTTCTAGCACACCCCTCATATTTCTTTACAAATTTTTTGGTGGAAAGTTCTGCTCTTGCCTATAACTGAACCTGGCATGACAGTTTGGGGAACCATTATGTTTGTCAATATTTCAGTTCAACTCGTGCAAATAGAACCAATTAAGATACCTATGGAGTGGCTATTGTTTCTGCTCTTCACTGTTGGTCCTCTTTAATCAGAGCCAAGGAATTTTTTTTTCCCCTGGTAAATCAATACAGCTGGTCTGTTAAGGTAGACTCCATCTTATATTGTCTTGTCCCTGCTAAAAATGAGCATTTCACGTGGAAACTGCTGGCTTCTTAGGGCATTGTCCACATATATTTTTCTCTTTTTTAAAAGGGTAACTTATTTTACTTGATCATCAGAGTTACAAAGAAAGAGAGAGGGAAAGACAGAGAGAAATAGTCTAACTGCTGGTACATTCCCCAAATGGTTATGACAGCTGGAGCTGGGCCAGTCCAGGAGCTTCTTCCTGCTCTCCCACGTAGGTTCAGGGGTCCAAGGACTTGAGTCATTCTCTGCTACTTTCCCAGGACATAATCAGGAGGATGGATCAGAAGTGGACATGACTCAATACCCATATGGGATGCCAGTGGAGGATTAGCTTGCTATGATACTGCACCAGGACCCTGCCCCAATAAACTTTGCTTAAACCATCACTGATTTCACTATCTTCTTCCCAAGTTTCATCATGAATCTTATGTTTGTTCTTGTTTCAATTTTAACAGAATTCAAGTGACTCCGACAGGGGCTCTTCTCAAACAAATGTCTTATAAGAGTACCTCAAACTAGATCCTCTTCAGCCACATCAGAGCAAATCAGAATTGTATTTTG